CTAGTATCATATAATAGCTTTGGTCTCATATCTTATTTTGAAATGCCTCACTAGGGCACTTCTTCAAAAAGGTTCAAAAGCTTATATGATTAAATTATGACTTTTTTACCGACGAAAAAGCCGGAGGTGTTTTTCAAGTCGGCGTCTATATATATTTGTATATAGTTTCGCATAATTTTTTAACAGAGTACGCCAATTTTGATAATTATTTTTTTTATTGGAAAGGGTATATTCCGAAGTTTGTCCCAGATGAAATTGGAAAAAAGACAACCCTAAGGGTAGGAAAACAGGGGCTGATTGATTGTTCACTCACTGATTGTAATCTATGACGACGCTTAACTTTTTATCGAGTAAATCTAAAGAATATATTACTAGGAGAAATTCCACGCGGAATAGGCGTTCGAGTCCCGTCTGTTGCCTGGTCCGATTGAAACATCGAGCTGTAACATGCTTAAAAAATTTTTTTTAAGTGAAAACTTCGTTTGTTGCATTGTACACTTTTTTTTGTGGGTAAAAAATGTTAAACTCGCGTCAGGTTAAACACGTGGGCTGATCGCATATGGCACACAAAAAATTGGAAAGGTTGTTGACTTTCAATATATTGGACGAAAAATAGTAGAATTTTATTTTCTCGTATTATAATAATAAGTTTCTATCTTCGTCTACGTGGCAGCTTTATTGCGAAAAAAATGCATTTTTTTACAATAGATGTCGCAAGGTTTTTTTTTTATGCAAAATAGGCAATGCGTTTGACCACAATCTCACCTGATGGAAAGCGATGATGAGGCCTAGGATGGTACACGCCTGCCTAGAAGATAAGGTGCGCTTAAATGTGATTCATGTAAGTTGATTTCTTTACAATAGATGTCGCTAAGTGCGCTTAAACGTGATTCATGTAAGTTGATTTTTCTGAGAGATAAACTTTTTTAATGTAATATAAATTGTCATGTTTCTGTACGATAGCGCAATAAATAAATATTGTATTCTACCACATACGTGATAATACTTTATACTAACAATTAAAGCAATTCGTGCAAAATTATTCCCTTACGAATCCAATGCACATTCCATATCAAAAATGCACAACGTTAATATTCAAGTTTTCGCTACTGCCGGCACTCCCAGATAAATTTGTTAACTTAAATCCTACCCTAAGGGGGTAGGTCAGGGTAGGCAAAGGTGCGAGCCATATTTTTGTATCGTAAGCGTCTATAGGGCTCTGGTGTGCGCCCTTTAAGCAAACTTGTTTTAGATTTTACAATAATTAGTTTTTTGGCAGGTTAACCTTTTTTTGATGTCATCATCATCCTTTTAATGTCCCCACTGCTGGGGCACAGGCCCTCCCTATGAATTTTTTGCATGCTATTAATATGGCTAAATAGGTTTAAGATTCTTAGCTTTTAGCATAATATGCTGGTGTTTGCAATATAAAGCATGATATGCTTTTGTCAACCCTATTTAATGCAAATAAAGATTATTCTATTCTATTCTATGGATGGAATAGGGAATTTGGGCCATGCCCCCACCACAGCCCAGTGCGGATTGGTGGCTGCTTACGACTGCAGATGCAGCCGGGACCAACGGCTTAATGTACCTTCCGATTTTTAATGTATCTTTTGAATATATAAACTTCACGAATGCCCATGTTCAAAAATTTTCTAATACACTGTTAAAAAACCTCCAATGAGTTCGTCACACAACACAACCGCACCTCGCATTTCACGAATTCCTTCTCAACAACTTAGCGGTCTTATCTCTTAAGTGGTAAGTGTCATTTTCGTACGGCAACGCGGTTATCGCGAGGACGTCTACAAGGTCGCGCAGATAAATAAATTGGCCTTATGAAAATAAAATTAGAATATATTATTTGATCGGTATTTTTGGCGACCTACGCGCAGTCTGCGCAGTTTTGCGGTGCGGTTTGTGTCATCCATCATTAAACTTTAGATGGGTGTGTGCATATAGACTTCGTGTCGGGAGCTGTCTGTGTATTCTTAATAGGCTTGTTGAAAATATATCGATATTTTTTTGTTCGATATATCGATATTTTTTGCCGATATATTTTGATTCGATATATCGATACAAAATAACCAATATCGAAATTCGTATCGAAAACGATATTTTTTTAATTATTAGCGGCATATCACGATCTAACTAAATTCGTCTCTGGAAAAATCGTAACTGGATCTCAGATTAATGATATTCAACATATCTATGATCTGTGCTGTAATTAGTATTGTCTATGTCATCATTCGAAAATAGGGTCTATTTTTAGGGAGATAATTTTCGTTCCATTATTATTCCGCGTGTCATATTTCGTGAGCTACTGTACGATATTTTTGGGAAAATTGGTCCGATATATTGATATATCGATGTTTTTTTCGCGATATATCGAAGCCGATATTGATATTTTTTAAAAGATCGATGTATCGATATGTCGATATTTTTTTCAACTTTCGATATCCCTAATTCTTAAGAGCGTATAGGCGATCTGAGACACATTTGAGAAATAGGTATTTAAAAAATACTATTGCTGTCGCAGATTGGCAAATACCGTGCGATAAGGACAATAGTAGCAAACGCTGAAAATTGGGTATAAAAATTGCAAAGTTGGAGGTTTGGCTCGGGCAGCAGACGGGACTCGAACCCGCACCCTTTGCTATCCGGGCGGATGCACTGACCATTATGCTACCGCGGCTCTGACGACCGTGTAGAATTTTCTCTAGGCTTTCTTAGGTTGCAAGCCTGGCAAGGCAAAGAAGAAATCGCAATAGGGATGATGACTATTTTTTTTCCCCTCTTTTATCAGGTCGATTATCAAAAAGTTTTTATTGCAGAGATATATTGATTTGAAAAGTCGCATGGCGTCACGTTTTAGTACAATTTTCACTTAAAAGTGACGCCACGAGCCCTACTCCCAAACTTTGACGCGCTTTATCTTTATCATTTTTTGGTTGATTGCCCAAAGAAAAAATACGTGTCCATTATTTTTTGATCATCTAACTGACGGACTAAATAGAATTTCGTTTACTGTACCCCGTCATCATGCATATTATAGTTTTATTAACTCGTATATTGTTTGTGTTTCAGCAGCAGAGTGCAGGCACTGCGGCGTGCGATGTGTAAAGACGGTTGAGGCGGCCGCCCGCCGCGCAGGCGGGCCACGGTACCACCATGTCGTTCTTCAACAATCTGAAGAAGGTGAGAGATATTAAAGTCATCGTCAATCTATTCATGGGGCACAGGCAGTGGCGGGGCAAGACCTAAATTTGATGTGGGCAAGACAGATTTCGCGAGGCCCTGTTCTGTAGCGATCTGAAGACGGATTTTATAAAATAATTGTAGGAATGCCAAAGGGGAAGATCTTCCTCCGAGCTGGATGGCGGTAGCTCGGGGGCCGCGGCCCGACTGATGTTGGTCGGGCATCGTATATATGAAGAGTTAGCCTCCGAATTTCATTTGCGCGATGTAGGCTTCCATACTATTAAGATCGCAGTGCAGGTAACGCCATCTCTTGAGGATGGTGAGTAATGATTTCCTCCATCTGTTGTATATATGTGGGGCATATAGATGTCGCCGCCCCATAATAAAAAAAAACGTTTTTAAGCAATGCATAAAAGTTTTTGAGGCGCGAGGCCCCTTGTACCGCGAGGCCGTAGGCGGTGGCCCACGTCGCCCACGCCTTACGCCGCCTCTGGGCGTAGGCCTTCCCTATGAATGGAATAGAGATACATGAACACCACCACGCGGATACTATTGGTGGGTGCTGACTGCAATACCCTTAGCACGAACCAATATCGAATTCGTGACGTTTGCGAGTCCGAAATGACATTGTCAAATGTGTAGGTATTTTTAAGTTCTCGTTACGTACTTTGTGGCGCTGCTGTTTGAGTTTCCATACGAAATTTGACATTGACATTTCGCGCTCGCAAACTATTAGAATTCGATAATGGTTCGTGCTAGGGGTACAGATCGTTTTCGCCAACGAATAACTTCCATTTGTCCTTTTATAAGCATCATTATCATCAACCTATTTAATGCCCCCACTGCTGTGCCCCAGGTCTTCCCTATGTGTGGAATGGATTGGGCCGTGAACCACCACGTGGGCTCCGTACTGATTGTTGGGTGCTGACGACTGAACGTGCCTTCCGAAGCACGGAGGAGCAAAGATAATAAGATTTTGGTCACCCATCCAATTACAGACCATTGTGAAAGTTGCTTAACTTTCACGATCGCAGGCGGAATGCGCTAACCACCTGCGCTATCGAGGTCCTCAGTGCTTGTTATTACAGTGCAGCCAACGAAAGAATTTTATCTCGTGTCAGTTCATTAATAGCGGACGCGAGCTGAGAGACATTTGAGATAAAGGTATTTGAAAAAACTGTTGCTATCGCGCATTGGCAAATACCGTGCAATAGGGACAACAGTAGCTAACGCCGAAAATCTACTATATAAAAATAAGTCGAGTTTTCCTTCCTGACGCTATAACTCCAGAACGCACGAACCGATTTCCACGGTTTTGCATTCGTTGGAAAGGTCTCGGGCTCCGTGAGGTTTATAGCAAAGAAAATTTAGGAAAAATTAAAAAAAATCTTCTTTTAATCACCAAACGAAATGTTACATAAAACGAAGCCATCTGGTGGCGAAACGGAGTTCGCCGGGTTTGCTAGTTGCGTATAAAAATTGCGAAATTCGAGGTTTGGCTGTCGACGTTTTACTCCTCAATAGTAATAAGCTTTATTTTATCTCCACAATCTAATACATGCTTCATGAGTAACAGATTATAAAACTTAGGACTAAGATTGTGAGAGACTGGTGACCAAAGTAAGCTGACGCCTGTGTCTCAGAGCACCAGCCTCGCGTCGAGCGGCCTCGACTTGAAGCAAATAGCCTCAGTTTGAGGCTGCTCGCTCTGAGGCAACGGCTACAGATCAGCTCGAGGCGTGTCGCCTCAGCTTGATCCGCTGGCGGCGCACTGCGCAGTTAAAAGCCAAAACGCGATGGCACCAGACGCGCGTCGAGTAGCTGCTGCTTTAATAGCAATAACCATTATTAAGAAAAAGAGGACAAGCAACAAAAAGCTATACAAAAGAGGAAGCATTGCTGGTAGTTAAAATAATTATATCGCAATAGAACTATACATGGATGTGAACACTTGCTATTGGACATGACGTTGGAAGGTGGCGATAGCTTTCGAAATTTTAGCGACCGTCTCCATTAAACACACGGCTCGGACTGAGGCGCCTTTGAGCACGGCACAGAAACCGACAAAATATGACTCGGCTCGCGGCGACGAATTTGCCTCGCGTCGCGGCGTGCCTCAGGTTGAGGCAGCGTCTCCACTTGCGCAGCCTCGGAGTGAGGCAGCCGCTCGACCCGAGGCTGCCTCTAGTGGATACGCGGCTTTACATAAGCAAAAAAAGGAGAACAACGATAATTTGTATGATAGTGTTGGTTGTGGTGTTTATGTGCATGCGTCCCTCGAACCGAGGACACTGAACGACCGAACTGGGGATAATCTTAGAATATTTACTTTCATAGCGGCAACAAAATGTTCGCACACAGTGTGCGTTGAGTCCGTGGCGATGGAGACAAGTTCTCGGCGGGCGTTTTTTTTTTCACGATTCAAGGATTTTCGTCGTCTGCGCAGGCCATAATGTTTACTTGAGCTTTGGAATTTTGCTAGCGCGTTGTAGCCTTTCACTGCTAGTGCCATCTGTTGACACGTAGTGTTTAGTCTTCCACATCCCCGCAGCCATAGTACACATAAAGAGGTTAGAAGGGCCTTGAAGGCGGGGCAGGCGCGCCACAGTTATATGCTTGGTATAATGCTCATAACTTTACCAAAACTTGGTTCTGATTGCGTCGTTGCTCACGGGCGTGAGCGCTGATTGGTTCGATTGTTTGACGTAGCGTCGTTTGAGAATGAAAATGAAAAAATGTTTATTACTTACATAAAGAATGTTACAATAATAGAGTTTGGATTCCCCTTTTAAGTGTAAGAACACTTGTGCCAGGGAAGGCCATTCTCCCATAGCTTGAAGTGGTTATGTAAAATATAGCCAGTGCATAATAAGAATATACAAACATTACTTATGTTAATAGTAAGTCGTACATGTTTACTACAATAATGTGTACTTGCAAACTGTTTATCCTATGCTATTCAGTGTTGTAAAGTTGAAACTACTTAATTATCAAGCTTTCTGTATCCTCATAACTAAGAGTTGTCAGCCAGTCGGTAAGCAGTTGTTTGTTTTCGAAATTTGTCTTTAAATAAATGTTCAGAATCTTGTTTACGGAGTTATAAAGGTGAGATGATCGATTTTTGTACTGGTGATTTGCAAACTGCGTTTTACAATTGCTGGTCTTGGCTACGATGTCTTTCCTTCTTTTGGTTAAAATAAATGAATCTAGCGGTAGGGATTTGTCGTTTGATTGGCTATTATCTATTAGGTGGCATTGTAGTGGGGGCTAGCCGGACATCGGTTCCTAACCTCTTTCTGTGTTCTGTGGCCGCCACATTTAACGTTGCCTTTCTTTCTCTACACACACAGGTGCTCCACCTAGGTGGCGGGCACGATGCGAAGAAGAAGAAGGTATTCAACAACATACGGGACAACTGCGACCCCGCCGACAACTGGGAGATGATCGGCGAGCTGGGCGACGGCGCGTTTGGAAAGGTGAGCCGCATGTGTAGCCATGAGAAATTTAGCTCTTTGAAGGGATAAGAGCTGTATAGTTATTTACTCAGTGAAGAGATATGTAGCTTTGTTTTCGGTCACGTGACCGTAAAAGAAAAGCATCATTTCTATTTAATGATCGTTAGGAAAGTTATTAATTATTTTTTTCTCTTTAATAATAAAATCGCTGCTAATATTCAATAAAATACAAATGCCAGCAATTGGTACTTTCTTTTTCATAATGTCAAATAGTTAGGTATTCGACACTTAGATTTTTAGTCGAAATATTGTGCTACAATGATGTCGATTCTGGCGTGATTCCCTAAACCTAAAATTAAATTTGACAACAGTTTATCCTCGTCTTTTCCGTTCTTGTTCGCTACACAGTTTGAAAAGAAGAGATGTTAAATTTAGTGTAGGTTTAGAGAATTACGCCAGAATCGACACCAATGTATTTAATAGAAACTAAATTAAAAATCTCTTTTCCCAGGTGTACAAAGCTCAGCACAAAACGACTGCTCAACTCGCCGCCGCCAAGATGTGCGTCCTAGACAACGAGGACGACCTCGCAGACTTCACCGTGGAGATAGACATACTGACGGAGTGTCGCCATCCCAACGTGGTCGAGTTACACGAGGCGTACTTCATAGACAACAAACTGTGGGTGAGTGACAGAGAGAGACAGAGATAAGATGTGCGTCCTAGACAACGAGGACGACCTCGCCGACTTCACCGTGGATATAGACATACTGACGGAGTGTCGCCATCCCAACGTGGTCGAGTTACACGAGGCATACTTCATAGACGACAAACTGTGGGTGAGTGATAGAGAGAGATAGACATACTGACGGAGACAGAGACAAAATGTGCGTCCTAGACAACGAGGACGACCTCGCAGACTTCACCGTGGAGATAGATATACTGACGGAGTGTCGCCATCCCAACGTGGTCGAGTTACACGAGGCGTACTTCATAGACAACAAACTGTGGGTGAGTTAAAGAGAGAGACAGTCATACTGACGGAGACAAGATGTGCGTCCTATATAACGCGAACGACATCGCCGACTTCACCGTGGAGATAGACATACTGACGAAGTGTCGCCATCCCAACGTGGTCGAGTTACACGAGACCTACTTCATAGACGACAAACTGTGGGTGAGTTAAAGAGAGAGACAGACATACTGACGTAGACAGAGACAAAATGTGCGTCCTAGACAACGAGGACGACCTCGCCGACTTCACCGTGGAGATAGACATACTGACGGAATGTCGCCATCCCAACGTGGTCGAGTTACACGAGGCCTACTTCATAGACAGCAAACTGGGTGAGTTACAGAGAGAGACATACATACTGACTGAGACAAAGACAAGATGTGCGTCCTAGACAACGAGGTCGACCTCGCTGACTTCACCGTGGAGATAAGACAATACTGACGGAGTGTCGCCATCCCAACGTGGTCGAGTTACACGAGGCCTACTTCATAAACAACAAACTGTGGGTGAGATGATGACCACGTTGTACCTTTCCGACAACTTGAGCAGCTTCTTTAGAACTGTGAGCGTACACTTTATCACTTTGCTCATTGTAGTGTTCTTCAATCGTGAAAAATTTTTCATCGGTAAAGAGGATATTTCTGTGCTTTTCACCTGCGTATCGCGGCAGAAGGCGTTTTGATCGATCCACTCTCTTTCATTGTAAAGATTGATTTATGGCATGTCCTGTCATATCGACGATAAGCACCGAGCTTCAGGGGGCCATTCGCCTAACGGAAATGCTTTGGAAAACTATCGCTTACAATTTCATTTTGATATTTCTAGCCGCCTGAGGTTTTCAAATGCCTCATGCTTATTTTCTTTAATATTGTTCCAATGAGAATAACCCTACTATTTCATCCACCACAGATGCTTCTCGAGTACTGCGACGGTGGAGCCCTTGACTCCGTAATGTCGGAGCTGGAGAAGGGGCTGAGCGAACCACAAATAGCCTACGTATGCCGTGAGATGTGTCGCGGCCTACAATATCTTCACTCGAGGCGGGTCATCCATAGAGATCTGAAGGCTGGCAATGTATTGGCTACAATGACTGGTGGTGTTAAGCTGGGTGAGTTATGATTAAGTATATTTATATAGAAATACATATTGTTACGTGTCGGGATGGGGTTCGAAATTATATGCCAGTTCACGCTTCACAGTTCTTTATTCAACACACAGTTCACACAATTAACACACAATGTTAATTACAAAATACTCACTAAACACTGTATTTCACTATACAAGTCACTAAACTATCGCACTGGAATACTTTTGTTGCACTTTGATCGCCTTTGGATTCGCTCCGAAATCGCTGTTGATACTCAACTGTCTCTGCGCGGCGCCAATCGCGCTTATACGCCGATCGACGCATGCTAGAAAGTACCTGTTAAATTGAGAATTACCTAGCACCCTCGAGTACGAAATACCTAGTTATACCTATGCGGGTAACGCGCATAACTTGTAAACAAGTGCAGACGTCGTTGCACTTTCTCCCTTACACGGCGCTGCATAAGGCTCATTTTAGAATGAGCCGCATTACTCGGCCTCTATCGCGACCCGCGGTGATCTGGCAAATTCGATCTCTAGCACATTCGCGGTTCCGTTTCGAGAGCGTTTGTGACAATATTAAACATCCATGACTAAAGTACTAATGCTCGTATTCATCACATAAACATCTGCCCCCACCGGGATTTCAACCCTCCTCGGAAACTTGGGACCTCTCGAGTCGGCGACACCATGAACCCTGGCGTATTAATCACTTGTCCACGGAAATTGGCGAGATAATCATCATCATCAGCCTATTAATGTCTCCACTGCTGGGGCACAGGCCTTCCCTATGGATGGAATAGGGAGATTGGGCCGTAACCCACCACGTGGGCCAAGTGCGTATTGGTGGGTGTTAACGACTTCAGATGCAGCCGGGACCAAGGGCTTAACGTGCCTTCTGAAGCAAGCAAGAAGCAAGGAAATCGAGATAGAAGATTTTTGGTCAACCATCCTATGACCGACCACTGCAAAGTTGTTTAACTTCAACGATCGCAGCCGAACGCGCTTACCACCTGCGCCATCGAGCTCCTCATGAAATCGAGTTATGAAATAATAATAATAAATATTTCCAACATTATCACCAATTAGCCTAGCCCCAAAGTAAGCACTGTAAGGCTTGTGTTATGGGATACTAGGGTAACGGATAGAATACATATATAGTACATATATAAGGTGAGAGTGGTTTGTACGCTGGGTTTCAAGGTGTCACCGACTCGAGAGGTTCTGGGTTCGAATCCATGTGGGGGCAAATGTTTCTGTGATGAATACGAGCATTTGTACTCCAGTCATGGATGTTTAATATGCATTTCAATATAAATACTTATATATGTATCAGTATATGTATTCTATCCGTTACCCTAGTATCCAATAACACAGGTCTACAGTGCTTACTTTGAGGCTAGGCTAATTGGTATGTGTTGGAAAACTGTTTTTTTTTTTAACCTTATTATCTATTTCTGTCTTTCAGAACTCCTAACATTATAGAATAGTAAATACATTCAGATTGTGGTAAATATTTATTTCCAGTAAAATTTTCTTTAGATTTAAACATCAATCAGTTAAATACTTAAATAACATTACTGTAATTGCTTTTTCTTCTTTCAAATGTTTAATACTTGTAAAGGTTTTTATTTGACATTGTGGGTTACTTACAATGCGAAGAGATGGCGCTGCCTTGAAGCCTAAGAAACACTAGAGAAAATTCGACACGGACAATTAGGAGCATAATGGTCAGTGCTTCCGCCCGGATAGCGGTGGTTTGGACACCCACCTGCTGACTTTTTTTTTAAAGCCAGTTAGGCAAATTGGTGATAAAGTCTAAACGCGAAGATAGCTGGTACAGCAGTTATATACTGCCACACCAACCATCCTCACCCTGCCGGCCTGCAAAAATGCTTTTTCACGCCTCTCTTAAAGGACCCCAGATTGTAGGAAGGAGGGAACACGTGCGCGGGCAAATAATTCCACTTACGAATAGTATAATATATTAGAACGAAGTTCCTTACGGCAGGCTTGGAGGGGATAGGGATTTTACTGCGCGACCGAACTGAAAAAAATGTGATAGTAAAACCGTAAGAAAAAATCCGTGGAATAAAACCGTTAAATGAGACGTGCGCAGGCGCGACAGTCGCATACACAAGCGAGTTTGCAATTTGTGTCGATTCTACATTAGCCGAAGGAACTTCGTTCCTACCTGGTGTCCCACGACACCACATCATTTTTCTTATCTCATCCCTTACTTTGTCCATACAGCGGATTTCGGCGTATCAGCCAAGAACAAGTCGACACTACAGAAGCACGACACGTTTATCGGCACGCCGTACTGGATGGCGCCAGAAGTGGTGCTGTGCGAGACCTTCAGGGACCACCCGTACGACTTCAAGGTGAGAGAATAATTCATACTCATATCCTAGTATGAAAAATGAAAAGGAAAAAAAAATGTGTTCACTGACCACACATTGGTAGTGAAAACTTCTTTTGTTAAATAACCTAACATTAGGCGGTACATTAGGCATAGGGGAATGGAGCAGCGCACGAATCTTTATATATTATATATGTGTGTGTGTATATATGTATATATATACATAAAAAAATGGGTGCGTGTACTTATGTAGGCGCGTGAGAAGTTATCCTTCTTTGGCATCGTTTAAAATTAGTTTTTAATTACATGCAAATAATTAATTACAATAAATTAATAAAAAGTCTGGAAAAGGACACAGTCAATAAAGTTCAGTTTTAATTTGAAAAAATAAATAAATAATCAAAATATTCAATTAAAATCGCTACTGAATATAATTTATTAGAACATATGTGATTTGCACTTGTATGAAACTCAAACACGTATTCCGAATATACAAACTAGAAACATGTGGATAAATATTATAAATATGAATACCTATAACTGTTACTTTATTACAAAAAATAAAGATGTGGTTTTTGGTTCTACTACACCAATGGTCAAGAGATGGCGCTGTAGTCTCCTGAATCGCGCTTTGGTTCCGTTGTTCCAGCCAGATTAATAAATACTTTTGATAGGCCTTCACAATGCAGTCGTTAGCACCTACTAAATAGAGATTCTATTTCTATTTTGTTGGTAGATTTTCTTAATGTGCGGTAAACACAAAAGTAACGCCAACTTCATGCTGTTAAAATTTTGTGTTACAGTGATGCGCGCGCATCTTAAAATTTCACTCTCATCATTTTTTCATAACGCGCCTAAAGAAGTATAACTTCAAAAATCACAATAAATACACACATGTCATGTCTATGTCGCATGTATTTGGTCGAATTAACAGAACAGTTTAGATGTGACACCCGAGAGCAACGGAGCCATCAGCAAGTTTAAGTCAAGTTATGAGCATTTGCTCACACATGGCTGTGGCGCGCCTGCCTCGCCCACAAGACCCTTCTAACCTCTGTGTTCTGTGACTTAGATTGCAGTAACAAATTATGTGCAAACTATGATGTAATGTAAGGATACGTCTCCACAGAAACAGAGCTCTGTGGACCTGCAATCTTATAGAATTGGCCAATGGCATTGCCCTAAATATACGCACAATTTATTTCGAGCAATGTTATTGGCCAAATTTATTTAAGACCCTGCTTACCTCCGCGCAGCTCCACTTCTATGGAAACGCATCTTATAGTCTACATACTACACAAAAAAACAATTTTTTTTAATCAACTTATCAATAGATAATTTAATTAGAAAAAATTCCAGGCTGCCGACGGTACAGGGCCTGGTCCGCGTGTAATTTATTCAAATTTTTTCAATACATTTAAACATCTAGCATTTACATGCTTAAAAAACAAATATAACTTAACAATACTTAATTATTCAATACAAAATTGTAGTTATTTTCATCATATTTCTTTCCCAGGTGGACATCTGGTCATTAGGAATAACACTTATAGAATTCGCTCAAATGGAGCCTCCCAACCACGAGATGACACCGATGAGAGTGTTGCTCAAGATACAAAAGGGGGATCCACCATCACTCGATCAACCATCGAGGTGGAGCAAGACTTTCAACGACTTCATTGCCAAAGCACTTGTTAAGGTGAGATCGTAGAAAAACTTTTGTAGCGCAGGGTTTGGGATTTGGTTTAGCTTGGAGGACTTTGATAAGAGTGTTGCTCAAGATACATAAGGAGGATTTACCATTGCTCGATCAGTCATCGAGGTGGATCAAGACTTTCAACGACTTCATTGCCAAGGTACTCGTTAAGGTGAGAACGTAGAAAATGTTATGTACTACAGTGTTTGGGATTAGGTTAGTTTAGGTTGGATGAGAGTGTTGCTCAAGATACAAAAGGGGGATTTACCATTGCTTGATCAGTCATCGAGGTGGATCAAGATTTTCAACAACTTTATTGCCAAAGCACTCGTTAAGGTGAGATCGTAGAAAAACTTATGTACCGCAAGGTTTGGGAATAGGTTAGGTTAGGTTAGAGGACTCTGATATTTAGAGTAAACAATTAAGTAGAAAAGGAAATTGAAGGTAAAGCACATGGTAAAATTTTGTATGAGCAACTGCCCTAATAATGTATAAATATTGTACTTAGTAATATTTCATGCTGAATGGCTAATCGGTTATAATTTCAATGAAAAAAGGCTCAGGAACTTTTGATAAAGTCAGATCAAGTAAACAAGTTGAAAATTATGAGAACTCCCACAATGTCATTACCTTGCTACGTTTGATAAAAGATGTTGCCAATTGTTTACAGAGCCATCAAAATCGCATTTTCTTGGGATATTCCTCCCATTTCTCTGATCAATAGTTTTTAAAGCAATAATAAATACAAATAATTTATTGTCATCGGCCAAACAGGAAATGTAAGTTTTAACTTTTTATAAAAACAGTTATTTTTATTAAATAATAAAAATATCGATCATTTTAAGACACGTCACTAGTTCGAGGATCATTAAAAATAACTGTTTTTAAAAAAAGTTAAAACTTCATTCAAATATTTTAAGAAATTAGAAGACTCCTTATATGATGACCTTCAACGCCCTCCAAGCTTTATTTGTATTTTTGTAACAGCTTGTATATTTTTTTTTATATATATATATATTTTTTAATCTCTTTTTCGTAATCAGGAGCCAGAGAAAAGGCCTACAGCCATCGAGCTTCTCAAACACGATTTCGTGAGCGGCGATCTGGACTCGAAACCGCTTCGGGACTTACTGCTGGAATACAGGGCCGAAGTGGTGGAAGAAGAGTTGTTGGACGATGACTCTGAGGTAATTATGAACCTTAATCTGAAGCAAATAAAATCGATATTCGCCTGAAAAAGTATTAATCAGTTTTGACTTGAGTACTTTTTCATCGGCCTATCAATTTCCAGCAGCTTGATGACGTAGTCACGTACCACCTTATTACAAAACGTGGATTAACTTTAACCTTGACCTTAATGCTGTCACCTTTGTTGGCTAGAAAGAAGACAGAAACAGCATTAGATTTAAACTGAGACTAACTTTAGTCTCGGTTTTGGAATAGTGGTTAGCGCGTTCAGTCTGCGTATGTGGTATAAGTATTTTATAGTTCTTAGAAGTTTGGAATTAATATTATTTTTTTCGATATATCGATCGAAATAGTATTTATGTAGATTTATTTTTATAAAACGGAACATTTTCCTTTTGGACTCGGATATGAAGTCAATTTTTATACTTTGAAATATTTGATTATTGAAACAAATATTTTAATGTTGCGAGCTAGTGCAAAATAATAGGGTATTTGACAGTATTAAAAGTAAAGTGCTAATTATTAGCATCTGTATTTAAAAGCAATATTGGCAGGGGTTTTTACTATTATTACAGAAAAACATTCATAATTTTACTAAAAACCCACGAAAAAGATAATAATTTTCATATCTATTGTCACGTGATTGAAAACGCCTAGGATTGGCGGAGCCTAAAATGACGTCACACATTAGTAAACTTCCAGTCAAAGTGACATTACATTGTATCGTTTGACGTTTTAATGACAGTCGTGTGACGTCACACACCAGTGAGACGCCATATTGCCCAGAGTAACGTAACGGCAACTTGAAAATTTAGTTTTTGATTTAGTTATTTTTACTGAAATACACAAGAGAATGATGAATATCCACTTTTTATGGACTTCATAAACATTAGTCGTAAGGTACGAAAGATCGTTTTTAAAAAACTTGTCAAATACCCTATTATACATGTTAAGGGCAGTTTATTAGCCATGTCCTTTCTTATTGCTATTCTGCTTCAGAAAAAATCTTTAGCTTTAAAAAGGCTGATGATAAGGATTTTCTTTCGTATAATACATTAATGCAAACTAGACTCCACTAACATAATTATAAGTGTCACTATCGCTTGTACGCACGCTTACTAACCGGATCGGGCGTAGACCAAGTCCAGGCGTGGGAAGTCGCGTCCCAACAAGGAGAACTATCAGCGAATTGGTTAGTATCATACACATGGAGATGTACTGAGCGATTACCTTCATGTCCCTTCAATACTCCTTCCTGACACAGGCAAATAAACTTGTCTACTAGTAGCTCTCAAATATTTTATCACTAGCATAATATTGGTTATAGAAATAAAGTATTTTTGATTTTGAGGTTAGAGAGAGGAGAACGATTTTGATGTGAAACATCTCTTGGCACACGTAAATCCGATTTCTGGCCCCCTGTAACAAGTGATGTCAGTGCAACATTAGTAGAAGCTGTAATACAACAAATACAGTAGTAGCTCCTCCTTGTATTTATTTCTTGACCACACCTAAACGACTCCATATTTGTCATCGCCTAACAGAAGAATCAGTTTTGATGTGAAACATCTTTTGGCGCACGTAAAACCGATTTCTGACGTGGCGACGCTGGCGAATGCTATATATATCAGTGCTCAACTACTCGCCGATCAGTACGGCGCCAGCGCCCTTCGAGGTAGGACCTATGTCATTTTTTAACGCACGCATCCCGAGAAATTCTCCGAGTGTATTTATCGTAAACCGGTTAGTGTTTTACACTTGCCAGGCGTCCGGTAACGGCACACATTTTTTTATATATTTGGAAACCAACTGCGTTACAAAGTATGCATTCAAATCCACGTGGGTTTACTATACCTAAACCATTAATAGGCTTTTGCTATCTGCACTGGAAAGTTAGAAGCTGTCGCATTCCATACTTCTCTCTCGCTCCCAGTCCATTGTTTATTTAGATATTCGTTAATGGTAGTACTTTGCGTTTGGTTTACATTGCTTCCGAAACGGAAACGCAGCCGCTCGGGCGTCCGCCTGCGTCGAAGGTATGATAATCTCTTATCTATTAGACAAGTCCGTCCGTCCGTCTGTCTGTGGTGCTGTTTCAGCGGCCAAACTAAAGACAATATTTAAGTTATAAGTTAAGAATAGTCTGATAAGACTACAAACCGGATTTGAGTAACGTAGCACTTCCGGTTTTCGAGAAATCACGAATTTCAAACGAAACCACACAAAATCTCCGAAGTTCTCAATTAATTAAATACATTTTTTTTTTAAATCAGGTTTTGGTGAACATTTGGTTCACTGGTTTGCTAGTTTTAGACTAATCCTCTAGACAGAGGTTTGTTAATCTTATTTAAATATTTCTTATTATCTATATATTTGCATGCTAATATAGCGAATCATGTTTGGGTATCATATGTATTGTAACATCTTTTTATAACACATTTGCTCGTTAAGCGTCTCTTATTGCACCAATTTCAATATCATAATGTATCACATTACACACGCGTGCGGTAATGTAAAGTAAAACGGACGGCTTATTATGTTCCGTCTAAAACGAACGATACTTTTTTTAATCTTAGCAAAGAGTTTTTTATGTCAGAACGGTAGCCAATATTTTGTTAATAAAGTTAACTTTGGGAGATAAAATATAACCATTTAATTCTTTAATTTGATTTATTTTGACAATAAATTACAACTATGTATCGGTAACAAATTCACAAAAATATTAATTTACTTTATTAGTAACACTGGCTGTTTTTTGTTCCTTTGCCTAAAAAAGCGTTGATGCGCGCGCATCGCTAATCTATGAAATAGTTATTTCTTTTTCTTTCCGCTATATTGTTTTTATTTGAAAATATTGTCAAGTAGTAACGAATTTATTAATTTGACACCGCCAGAAGTCGAAAAAGGCTACGCTTAACCTCTTGCCCGAAAAATCCACGGATAGATACTTACAGTCAAGCGTATCAAAATTTCATCTTATGGAAAACAAACAAAGGTGCAAATTCATTTTTATACGTAGGTAGTATTATTTCCTTGCAAATGTGTTATAAAACGTCGTGTGACATACGTGCGGTTTGATAATTACAGCCTCTGCCTTCTTATAGCCCTCACCTACGGCTCGGGCACAATATCGCCTCGGCTGTAATTCTCAACTTACCGCACTTATATCATAATGTACTTACGTGTTAATTTACGAATGTTCGCAACATTCATGAATTCTTTGACTAAGGCTATTCATATTTGCCATTTGTAATCTTGATAGCAGTATGTCCTTAGCATTCTCCCTGTAGGTTGAGAAGGAGAGATTGAAATTGACAAATAGCAAATATGAATAGCCATGTGAAATGCTTAGCTATGGTATTTTATATGGTAACTAAAAAGAAAATGGTGTCATTTATTTTTCATTTGATTCAATTAGCTTTTTATTAAAGAACAAAATAAAAATGCTTTTCTTTATTTCTCAATTTTTTATTAATATGTCTGTTTTTTAATTAAAATAAAAATATAAATTAAATAAAAAAAACCAAACATATTAATAAAAAATATTAATTTATTTATTTATTGACGTTTCATAAAAACTAGTTTTAATTTATTGTTAATTTGTTGGTTTGCTTGTCGTATGGTACAGGAACATCGCAGCTCACAGATGCACATGGAGGTGGAAGATGACTCCACGTCTGTCCGGTCGGGCGACACGCCGGACGTCAAAAGTGAGTTACCAGTGTTACCACATTAATATTATGAAGGCGAAAGTTTATAAGTGTATAGAGTCTGTGCGGAAAGAGAATGGGATTTAGATTTTAGGGCGCTGTAGTGCTTTTCTACCGTATTTGTAAGGTTTTACCCCTTTTAGACATGATTAAATACAAAAAACCGCAAGAAATCACAACAACAAACAAATCCGTATCAATACAAAACTTTGACGTTATACAGATTGCTGTGTTTGATTGCCAAATAAAAATCTTAATGTTAGTTCCGTTTTTCGCCACGCCCATTCTCTTTCCGCAGACTCTATGTGTGTTACTTCTTCACGTCTAAACGACGATGGAGCGATTTTAATAAAATTTGGTATGGAGTTACCTGACGCCCTGGATTAACATAGTCTACGTTTTACTGCGGGAAAATATCAGTTAGTGTTATATAAAATTAAAAGAGTAGTTTATGCTACTTTATGCCATACAAGAAGGGATATTAAAATTGTATTTGATCTGAGGGGCCCCCCTATCGATCGCGGGGCCCTGGGCACTTGCCCAAAGTGTCCACTGGGAAAGACGCGTCTGCTTCTGACTGACGAAATCATTTAGTATCCTAATTAGAAAGCTATCTAGGAACGTGTGATATACAATATACATGCATCTAAACCCTGATGCTTCAGTAGATTACGTAGATTTTGTCTACGATCACGAATTACGCAAGTGCGCGATGTCGGCGGTAAGAGAAAAGGAAGTTATGAGTAACATAATGGAATTGTATAAACATATGCCGTATCTTTGGATCAAAAACGATAAAATTAACATTCATAATAATAATATTTTTTACTTTATTTATTCTAATTGAGCTTACTGCCAGGCCTACGAAAACACCGATTTTTTGTTGCTTTGACAGCACTGGAGCCATTAGGAAAAAGTTCGACTGAATTCGCCGCACGCTTGCAACTGACTGAATCAGTAACTAAACTAGTCAAGTGTAATCAGAAGCTTCTAATTAGCTTTCTTTTTAGGATCCTAACTAAGACGTCTGAATTTAGTCAGGTGAAATACGCGCTTTATACTAAAGCGGTTAACCTATAGTAGTATCTCTTATCTATTAGACAAGTCCGTCCGTCCGTCCGTCCGTCCGTGGTGCTGTTTCAGCGGCCAAACCGTAAGAGATAGATAAAGAGAATGTTTAAGTTATAAGTTAAGAATAGTCTGATAAGACTACAAACCGGATTTGAGTAACGTAGCACTTCCGGTTTTCGAGAAATCACGTGATTTCTATTTCAAACGAAACCACACAAAATCTCCGAAGTTCTCAATTAATTAAATACATTTTTTTTTTGGTGAACATTTGGTTCACTGGTTTGCTAGTTGATTATATTTATCTAATTCCCGCTCCCCACCCACACAGTGTCGGAGGCGGAACCCCCCTCGGGCTCCACGGTACAGGGGGCCACGGTTCCCCCCGCCCCGGTCCCGGCCCCGGCCCCGGGCCCCGTCCCCGCCCCCGGGCCCGCAAAGAGGCCCCGAGACGACCCCGCGCCTGTTGACAGGAGGGCGCCGGTGAGTAAATATTAAATAATAATAATAATCATTTGTTTCAGATAATTATAATAACATTATAATCCATAATTATTAGTACAAGTTAGTAAGAATGTCGGGCTTATCCTATGTTAGTAGTATTAGTATATTAATAAATCATTCTTAAATTACCAATTTATCCGCCATATTGATTATATTCACAATTATAATATATTCTTCATGTCAATTAAATTCAATTAACAATTAATAGATTCAAATAAAAAAATCAATAGAAATATATAGGTACGATTATTCTGAAATCGCAAAAAAATCTGCTGTTTAGGTCGATTAGCTGATGCACTTTCTACGAAACAGCTGATTTTTTTTTCGCGATTTCAGCGTTGGTCCCATAATAAAAGTTGTTGCTGTTGATGGGTAGAATCAATGACCTTTCCGATCAGCTTGATCCTTTGGCTTTGCGTAGGGATGTAGCTTCGCTCTGCATCTTCTATCGCATTTATCACGGGGAGTGTTCTGAGGAATTGTTCGGATTAATTCCAGCTGCTGCATTTCGCCATCGTACATCGCGACAAAAATTTCATCCCCATCATCTTGATCTATCTAGCGTGGCTATCCACAACCGTTCGTTTTTGTCGAAATTTTTTACCACGTACGACAAAACTGCGGAATATATTGTCGCCAGCAGTGTTTCCGGACCGATACGACCCAAAAACCTTCAAAAAAAGAGCGTACTCCTTCCTTAAAGGCCGGCATCGCATTTGTGATACTCCTGGTGTTGCAAGTGTCCATGGGCGACGGTAATCACTTACCATCAGGTGAGCCGTCTGCCCGTATGCCCCCTATAACATAAAAAAAAAAAAAAAGAATCACCCCTAAGAGGTTGTTGGTGTTTTAAAATTAACCCTGTATAAAATTACATATTTCGTCCACTCAGGCGCCCAAGAAAGAGAAAGGTCCCGCTCCCCCTCCCCCGTCCACTCCGCCCGCGTCCCCCGCCCCCGTCCCTACCCCTTCTCCCACCACTACCCCATCAACTACCCCCTCCACCGCCCCCGTCGCGTCAAAGAAACCGCCCGCGCCGCCGCCACCGCCCGCAGCGGCTGTATCTGCCGTCGCCGCCGCCCCGCAACAGGTCAAACAGCTAGTCGATCAGGTAATCATACTAACAAAACAGGTTGCTATTATAATATTTTTTTAAGCATGTAACTGCTCGGTGTTTAAATCTAAAGAAAATATTAGGAGAAAAAAAAAATCTAGTGTTAGCAGAATTGTGGCATATTTTCCTTAGATGTAAATATCGAGCAGTTACAAACGGAAAAAAAATTATAACTATGATTGCTATTTGAGGCCATGAGAACCATAGTGGCCAAACTCATTTTTTTACAATTTTGAGTTTATGATTTTTTCCAGTTCAAATAGGGAAGATGCATATATAATATTTATGAAAATTTTATGATTAAAATGTTAAAAAAATATAAAAGAAATGCCACTGCAACGTTTTTATTTTACATAGTGTTGTTTTTTAACAATTATTACGAATTAAAAATACTTGAAACGGAACGTATTTTAAAACACCAATCAGCGTTTAGTGACGTCAGTCCTGTTATGACAACTTCTTTGAGGTTATGGTTGTTAAAGTAAATATTATTTTATGGGAATATTTATTGCGTTTTTTTACATTTAATAAAAATGGAAGTTGCGTTTATCAAAGCAGACTCCAGGAATTTACGAAGAGTTAGCGTTGACATGGTTATAACTTTTTTTGTCCAAAGTGCAGAGTTTTTAAGTGTAGAAATGAAAGGGACTATATTACTACGGTATGTAAAAATCGTACGGTATAGTTTATTCGTATTTTATTCAGCGGCTTCTACAAATCTTACGGCGATAATGCAATCGGCTATGTCCAAATTAAAAGAGATGGAAAATTATGTACAGTAAAAGGTCGAGTTCTCCGGAGCATAAACTACGTAAAGAAGGTTATCGTGTTACAGTTATTTTAAATGAAACGCAAAGCTTGGTTGAGTCCTGCCAATGAGAAGAATGTGCCACACATTTTAAACTTTATCTAATTTTCGACGTCATTCTCCAACTGTAAAATGAAAAATATGTTATAGAGGTTACTAATGCGTTTTTACGTACAAGCAGATTAATTAAGCATATAACAAGTATATTCGCCAACTTACGTCAAAGTAATCTTCTCAGCATCGAATAATGGTCTTTGGAGAATTGTCATTTCTCTTCGCAGCTTGAAACCACTTTTCTTTCAGTTTTGGGTCAGAAGTTCCAGTCAAAAGCAATTTATTTGGGAACTTTGTTGAAGTAGATTGGCACAAAACATGAGTCAACACGGCTTTTTTTCGGAATATTAGTGGTATTGTTATGATCACATGATGTTGATGGATAGTTCCATTTTAAATTTTTCAAAAAAATATTTCGAAAGTCGAAAAACTATGCAAAAGTATGAAAATTTAAAGCCAGCAACGAACAATTACGACCAGTGATAGACAGGAGTGACGTCATCGCAACCATAGGTTCGTTTTTGCGCGAAAATTTAAATTGTCAATTTAAAACCGCATTTTTTCCGATAAATCACAATGTTTTAATTTTTTAATATATCTGTGGTTTATTCTACATGGAATTCTTTAAAATGAAAACAAACATAAAAATATTGCATCTTCCCTATTGATCATTTTGATAGAACCAGAGTGGTCTAAAAGTGATACAACGAATATTCACTAGATGGCAGCAGTGATGACACTGTTACGGTTTTTAGTCTGTGATCTAAATTTGAGGTGCCATACTGGCCTAAGTAAGATAGGCCACTATGGTTAAAAAATGAGTTAAGCCACTATGATACTCATGGCCTCATTTCTTCTTTCAAATGTTTAATAAACGTAAAGACATTGTGGGTTATCTACTATGCGAAAAGATAACACTGCCTTGCAGCTTCAGAAAGGCTAGAAAGAATTCGACACGGCCATCAAGGCCGCGGTAGCACAGTGGTCAGTGCATTCGCCCGGATAGCGAAGAGTGTGGGTTCGAGTGCGGTCTGCTGCCTAGTTCGCGTGGATTTTTTTTAGTAATATAATTCTTTAGGTTGCTTTTAGTTAATAATAAGGCGTCTTGTGAGGCGGGTCGTTACGTTCCCTAAAATATGGTTCAGCGAAGCGACGGCTGGTTCATGCGTCATGCTCGCGAATGCCTGCTAGCTTCGATGAGCCTGCTCAAATATTTAACAAAACTTATCTGTAATCCCGGAAAGAAACAACGCGATTGGCAGAAAATTATATGGGAGTCGCGATTTTAAAGAATGTCTGTATAAAACCATATTTAAATTAGTGATTCTAATATTTCGACATGAGTGTAAATAAAAGTACATCTTTGAATAGTGTGTGTGTGTGATGAATTATATTTAACATGTGTTTATTCAATAATGCATTAAATAATCATGCTTCACTAAGTCGTGTTGTTGTATCTATAAGTAAATTTGATCATAGTTATGTCAGAATGTGTCAAATTTCGACAAATGGTTATTTTATATCTAGTACTTTAAATAAACTGATATATGAATATACTATAAATGAAGCAATGCGGGCATTCAACTTTCAATTTAACGATTAAAATTAGGTGAAAAAGAAACAGTTTAATTATATTTTGTTGAATATACATACATAAAAGTAACATGTCTATTTGTTATTTATCTATCTCTTTACCATCACCAACAGGTATGTCGAGAAGCAGAAAAGGCTGTGGAAGAAAAGAAAGACCTAAAACAAGACAAGGATAGTCCCAAACCGGTTTCAACGAGAGTCACGCCCGAACCAGAATCTAAACCGGCAGACAAAGACACAAACAAACCTAGCGCTCAAACCAATGACCTACAAAAAGACAATAAAGAAATTAACAGGACAGAAAAAGATATTAGCAAACCAGTAGAAAGAGAAGACAGGCAACTCAAAAAGAGCGATAAAGATGTCGGCGTAACTACTGAAAATAAAACAGAACTTAGACGAGAACAGAAGAAAATAGAAGTTAATAAAGATAAAATCGTACCTAACAATACTGAATTAGATAAAGTAGAAATTAAGAAAACAGAGAAAGAGGTCGTAGAAATACAAGTCAATAATAGAAATAGTAAAGACAGGACTGAAATCAGAATTGAACACGAGAACAAAGTAGACAAGGTTGTCAGTAGAAACGAAAGACTTAACGATAAACATAATCGTTCGAGTTTCTCAGAGGGTAAAGTTTTAAGCGAAGTCAACAGGATAGATTCTAGGAATTCTCTGAACGAAGACAGGTCTAGCATGGAAATTTCTAGATCTAAACTGAATGAGAAGTCTAGTTCTTTCGAGAGATTCGACAGTGTCACTGTTAATAGTATAGATGAGAAGATTGAGAAGTTCAACAGGTCTGGCTCTGTGGATGGTAGAGATAGAGAAGAAGTGGATAGAAGGTCGAAGCTTAGGGAGAAGAGAAAATCGCTGCACAACTCTGTGGAGATCAGGCCGGTGACGGTGAGTTATTTGACTGTGTAATAAATAATACTTTAGTACCAGTACTTTTAGTACGAATATATCGAAATCAAATTCTTGATACGCATTAAATGTTAAGAAGTTTAGTATAGAATAGGGTATTTGACAAGTTTTAGAAAACGATCTCATGTTATTTATTAGAGTCGATAAAAAGTGGATATTAATCATTATGTTGTGTATTTCGTTAAAAAAACCAAATCATAATCTCTTATTTTCAAGTTGCCGCGAAAAACGTATCTCTGGACAATATGGCGTCTCACTGGTGTGTGACGTCACACGACTGTCATTAAAACGTCAAACCATACAATCTAATGTCACTTTAACGGGAAGTTTACTTCCGTGTGACGTAATTTTAGGCTCCACCTAAGAAAGAAAACTATTATCTTTATCGTGGGTTTTTAGTAAAATTATGAATTGTTAACATTAGTAAAACATCTAAAGAAAAGTTTACTAGAAAAAAAATCCACGCGGACCAGGCAGCGGACGGGACTCGAACCCGCATCCTTCGCAATCCGGGCGAATGCACTGACCATTATGCTACCACAGCCCTATTAATTTCGATAATAGGTAGTAAACTTTTCTTTAGATTTAAACATCTAGCAGTTAAATGCTTAAAAATAAATAAAATCATAATTAGTAAAACATGTTGATTTTGCGTCAACAATCAATAATGTAATTTGAAATTGCCGCGAAAACGTTTCTCTGGATTACTAACTAGTAATTTGAAATTTTAAAATTAATATTAATGCTTTATTAATTTCCTCTCATTCTATTGTTATCTCGCAGAAAGTGATACACACATTCTAAATTTAATTTTTCTAACAATCATCATTTTGGTTACGAAGCAGCAGCATGATATTGACATTTTGTAGATGTAGTATGATTATTCTTATACATCTCAATTTATTGATGAGGAAATCAATTATTTATATAATATAATTTTATTTTATTTAATAAAAATAATTCTTATAGAGTCTGTGCGGAAAGAGAATGGGATTTAGATTGGAGGGCGCTGTAGTGCATTTCTACCGTATTTGTAAGGTTTTACCCCTTGTAGACATGATTAAATAAAAAAAACCGCAAGAAATCACAACAACAAACAAATCCGTATCAAAACAAAACTTTGACGTTTTACAGATTGCTGGGTTGGATTGCCAAATAAAAATCTTAATGTTAGTTCCGTTTTTCGCCACGCCCCTTTTCTTTCCGCACAGATTTCTAATGACCAATATTTCTATTTTAATTTCAAATATTATAATATTATAATACTATCCACTGTAATCACAGTCAAAAGATAATTGTCATCTCTGAATGCGGCCGTCACAATAATAACTCTTTTCTTTGAAGAGATTAAAAAAAACCCTTGAAAGGAAATAAAGGACGATTTGATAGATTTTTTAACCAATCTGGCGTTTCGGATCCTTATCAGTGGTCGCAATTATTTTTAATAAAATGCTTAAAAAACCTAAGAATATGAGAGTATAATTAGAAAATCTTCCACCGCAGCCTCCACAGCCCAAAGAGCCGGACCAGACTTCATACCCCGTGATAGCTACGGTCGCCTTAGCGGCAACCAACGTAGTAGTCCCCGTAGTGCCCGTATCTGTGGCCGTATCAGACAACGTAGTGGTCGTCGAACCCAACTCTTTGGCTGCCACTCCTGCTGGCCATGTGACAGTTACTACCACACATCCGCCTGTCATCAGTACTGCCGCTCAGGTGAGTAAATCTATATATATAAAACTCAAAGGTGACTGACTGACTGACATAGTGATCTATCAACGCACAGCTCAAACCACTGGACGGATCGGGCACAAATTTGACATGCAGGTAGATGTTATGACGTAGGCATCCGCTAAGAAAGGATTTTGATCAATTCTACCCCCAAGGGGGAAATCTGCAAAAATACTTGTAATTGCTAATGCCTCAAAATCTTTTTGACGAACGAAAATAAGTGATTAATTTATAAAGTAATAATAAATAATAATACACTACATTTTATAATTCTAATATATAAAATTCTCGTGTCGCGGTGTTTGTGGTTAAACTCCTCCGAAACGGCTCGACCGATTTTCGTGAAATTTTATATGCATATTCAGTAGGTCTGAGAATCGGATAACATCTATTTTACATCCCCCTAAATGTTAAGGGTAATCCACCCCTAATTTTTTTTTTCAATTTTAGTTTTTTTTTTCAATTTCTTTATGATACATACATACAAAAATAAATATAACCCAAAATTTTCGCCCTTCTACCACCAACCCCTATTTTTTTATGGCACTACGAAGTTCGCTGGGACAGTAACATACATAATTCTTAAAAATTGTACATTTAATACCTACATTCGAAATTTGCAATCCCGCATAATACGCTTTCCCGCTTAAGACGCGTTTTTGGTCGAGTCCCTGTGAAATCGTCTTAAACGGGTTTTACTGTACTTCATTTTGAACGATAAACTATCAAATTGTAGCTTTCTTTGAGTAGGCTTAGAAAATCTACACCTCAATCTATATTCCGACGACGAATATTATTATAATTAGAAACGAACCAGAAACATAGTAAGAAAAGTGCGAAGTGTCGAATGAAATTTCCGTGAATTAGAGTAGGCCTCCGTCCTGGAGTGTGTTGTTTTGTTGTTGTAAATCAGAGATTCCCATACTTTTTTATGTCGTAGACCCTTTGTAGGGTTTTTGGTTTTGGGTCGACCCCTACTTACCTGATATTGATTTTTTGTAAATTTCAATCTGGAGGGAAGTTTGTGTAACAAGATGATACTGGTTTATCATTATATGCAGGTTTATACAACTTCAAAATGTAAAGCGACCACAAAGCGAATGCCTACATCTTACAACTTACAAAATTTTATAAACATATATATAACTAGCAAACCAGTGAACCAAATGTTCACCAAAACCTGATTTCTCGAAAACCGGAAGTGCTACGTTACTTAAATACGGTTTGTAGTCTTATCAGACTATTCTTAACTTATAACTTAAATATTCTCTTTATCTATCTCTTACGGTTTGGCCGCTGAAACAGCACCACAGACAGACGGACTTGTCTAATAGATAAGAGATATTTTTTATTATTTCATAGGTACTTTTATAAATAATGTATATGTCTTTTTAATAGAAAATAGCATAATGTTAGTAAATAAGTGCTATCAGTGTGTGTTGAGATCCATTATTGTGGACCCTCATTTTCATTTCATGAACCCCCAAAATTTTTTTTCGCTGACGTAGACCCCTTGCAGGTCGTCATAGACCCCTAGGGGTCGATATAGACCACTTTGGGAATCACTGTTATAAATAATATGGTTACATTTGTTTATTATCTGTCCGTTATCACCCAGCTGCCCCCCAACGCGGTGACGATATCGACGACGCCGCCGATCGCCGATGAAGTGGTGATCGTTGGCGCTGGATCATCGTCCGATGATGACTGCTTCGCACCTTCATCGCTGGACTCGTTGGACTGCACGCATTACAGTGGCAAGTTACATATTGTTATTTTGTTTTCCCGGACCAATTTAATCTGCATATCTTCAAGGCCAGAGTGAACAGGAATCTTCTAGGCAGGCGTGTACCATCTTAGGACTCATCATTTCTTTCCATCAGGCGAAATTGTGGTCAAACGCCTTGCCTATTAAGCATTAAAAAAATAACAAATATGTCTATACTGTAATCTATGTATATAAAACTCAAAGCTGACTGACTGACATAGTGATCTATCAACGCACAGCCCAAACCACTGGACGGATCGGGCTGAAATTTGGCATGCAGGTAGATGTTATGACGCAGGCATCCGCTAAAAAAGGATTTTGATCAATTCTACCCTCAAGGGGATAAAATAGGGAATGAAAGTATATATGAAACTTTGCCAATTTTAAACCGATCAGGCTGAAACTTTGCATGCAGGTATAAGAAGAATCATAGATGAATGTCATTGTGTATATTACAAGCCTGAGAACAAAAACTGTAGTCTACACCGAAGCGAAGCGATGGCGGGCCGCTAGTCTAAAGATAAAATACACGCGGATCAGGCAGCAGACGGGACTCGGATTCGCAGCATTCGCTTGCAGACTAAGAAATGATAGAGAAAATTCGACATTGCCATCATGGCCGCGGTAGCATAATGTCAGTGCATTCGCTCGAATAGCGAAGGGTACGGGTATTATACGCAGCCTGAAAAAGATGCGAAACGTCATAATTAAATAAATCACTGCATTTCTGCCGTTGATACTTGTTTTATTTCATATGTTTTGTCTGTTATATAGAACGAACTCGCGGGCGTCGCCTGGACAGCAGCGAGGTGTTGATCCTCAGCCCCGCCGCCGCAGACTCCGGCGTGTTCGACGACAGCAACCACCACGCCGGAAACTTGGTAAATATATCATCACCATCATCGGTCTATTAATGTCCCCACTGCTGGGGCCAGGCCTTCCCTACGGATGGAATAGGGAGATTAGGCCATGACTCACCACGCGGGCCCAGGGTTGATTAGCGGGTGCTAATGACTGCAGTTGCAGCCGGGACCAACGGCTTAACGTGCCTTTCGAAGCACGGAAGAGCTCGAGATAGTAAATTTTTGGTCACCCATCCAATGACCGACAACTGCGAAAGGTGCTTAACTTCAACAATCGCAGCCGAACGCAGGAACCACTTGCGCTATCGAGCTCCTCGGTTAAGTTTAAGTTTACAAATGTTTGGTTTTTATTCTAGATTTAGCAGAGTGCTAAAAAATGGTTCCAAGATTTTTTTGCAAACCGTACTTTTCAAGCGACATTTGACAGATGGAGGTCATTGGTTTTCCTATTGTTATTTGAATCGCACTATATTTACCTAAACTGCAGTAACGGAATTTTGTAAAAGGGCTCTTAAATGAAGTTTAATGTTTCTTAGGACACTTCCCACGTATCCGTGGTAACAGTAGGCAACGAGGAGGTGAGAGTGAGAGATTCTCGAGCAGCACCTGTAGCCAGACTCAGCCCCGATAGCTGTGGGAGGTAATGTATCAGCATGTTTAACAATAAAAATAAGTACTTATTATATTTGTTTCTTAGGTTTTCACGCACCTCACTCATTAAATAAAACTAGTTTTCACGGGTTAATGCATGAAATTTTATTTATTTCTTGACGTTTCGTAGCCTTTACAGGCTACGTCGTCGGTATCAAATTTTTATTTTGAAAAATTTGATAAAAATTTGATTCCGGCTACGGAATTAAGGCTACGGAACGTCAATAAATAAATAAAGTTTCGTGCATTAACCCGTGAAAAACTAGTTTTATTTAATAAGTACTTATTTCTTGAGTTCTCACGCACAACACTTTTATTGTCTTTAAGAAATCGCTCTTAGCGATAAGACCACCAATTATAATGCTTTGTTATGTTTATTGTTTGTTAATGTTATGTAATTATGTATTTGGTGTTATAATAAAGTGTTAATCTATCTATCTAACACTCGGATTCAGGTACTCACTTTCTCCGAAACGAACTTACTATATTGAGTTCAAATGAAATTTAATTTCCTCAATTTAAGGTTATACTTAATTTGAACGAATTTGAAAAAAAATAAGCTTTCTTTGAGTAGGCTTAGAAAATCTACACCTCAATCTATATTCCGACGACAAATATTATTGTAATTAAAAACGAACCAGACACATAGAAGAAAAGTGCGAAGTTTCGATCGAAATTTAGTTTTTCGTTGAATTAGAGTAGGCCTCCAGATTCAGATTTATTTATTTGCAAGAAAAGTGGTCCAAAATGTGTATCATTATTTGTTGAGACGCGCTCAATTCACCAGAAACTGGCATACAATTTTTTCACGTTTTCAGGCTGCGTTATCAGAATAGGGTATTTGACAGTATTAAAAATAAAGTACCTATTGTCACGTGACCAAAAATGCTTGGGATTGGCGGAGCCTAAAATGACGTCACATGCAAGTAAACTTCCGGTTAAAGTGACATTACATTGTATCCTTTGACTTTTTAATAACAGTCGTGTGACGTCACTCACTAGTAAAACGCCATATTGTCCAGAGAAACGTTTTCGCGGCAACTTGAAAATGGAGTTTTTGACTTGGTTATTTTTACTGAAATACACAACAGAATGATGAATATCCACTTTTTACGGACTCCATAAACATTAGTCAATAACGTGAGATCGTTTTCTAACACTTGTCAAATACCATATTTAAGGTTATACTTAATTTGAACGATAAACTATCAAATTGAAGCTTTCTTTGAGTAGGCTTAGAAAATCTACAACTCAATCTATATTCCGACGACGAATATTATTATATTTAAAAATGAACCAGACACATAGTAAGAAAAATTCTAAGGTTCAATAGAAATTTAGTTTTTCGTTGAATTGGAGTAGGCTTCCAGATTCAGTTTTATTTATTTGCAAGAAAATTTGTTGAGACGATAGATGTAATGTCACCGGAAGTTTACTTGCGTGTGACGTCATTTTAGGTTCCACCACTCCCAAGCGTTTTGGGTCACGTGACAATAGATAAGAAAACTATTATCTTTCTCGTGAGTTTTTAAGTAAAATTATGAATGTTTTTTTTGTTAAAAATAGTAAAAACCCCTGCCAATATTCATTCTCAACACAGATGCAAACAATTGGCACTTTATTTTTAATACTGTCAAATACCTTATTGAGCTGCGAGTGCAGTATCTTCCCTTTTTGTTTTAATCTAAGGGGAATATTATAAATATTATATGTATATATATTTAAATGTATTCGATGCATGTATATTTAGGGATTTTTTAAGTAAATATTTATGTAGTTACTTTTATTGGTGTATGTTTATAGTTAATCACTTTTTTTCTTTTTTAATAAAGCCGCATTCGTGAATTTCTCTACGCCTAAAGGTTGACTAGCAGAGAATGCTTTTAGCGTTAAGTCCGCCTTTTGTCCATTTTTTTAATTGTGGCAATAAAGTTTAAATAAATAAATATTAATAAAAAATTGTTTTTGTTATACAAGAAGTCCATAAATTGTATGGGGTTTGACTATTTTAAATGTAATCTTTCCTCCCATCAGACGATCGCAATCCGATAGCGGCTCTGTGGCGTCATCAAGCTCTAGAGTGGCTCACGATGCTGATTCTTTAGCCACGAGCACTGAAGATCATCAACATCACGACGATCACCACGAACCGGAGGCCAATGGAGGCACTAGGTGAGGAAATTGAAAATCACACTATCACACTTATCTATCTATATACTCAAAGGTTTTTTTTCAAACTGACTGACATAGTGATCTATCAACGCACAGCCCAAACCACTGGTCGGATTGGGCTGAAATTTGGCAAAATTTTTTTAGGCATCCACTAAGAAAGGATTTTGATCAATTCTACCCCCAAGGGGATAAAATAGGGAATGAAAGTTTGTATGAAACTTTGCATGCAGATATAAGAAGAATCATAGATGAATGTCATTGTGTATAATACAAGCCTGAGAACAAAAACTGTAGTCTACACTTCAGCTCTACACCGAAGCGAAGCGAGGGCGGGCCGCTAGTAATACTATAAAGGTGAAACTTTGTGAGTGTGTATGTTTGTTACTTCTTCACGTCTAAACGGCAGGAGCGATTTTAATAAAATTTTGTATGGAGTTTGCAGACACTCTGGATTAACACATAGGCTACATTTTACTGCGGGAAAATATCCCTATATACACCGCGGGTAATACCGCGGGGCACAGCTAGTGAAAAATAAGCAATAGGCGCGTCTACACAGAGCGATCAGCCTCGCGAGGCAATTGTTAACGTGACAGCATCGCGGCGCAATCGAGCTCCTCAATAATAATGATAATGATATCATCATCATCAGCCTATTAATGGCCCCACTGCTGGGGCACAGGCTTTCCCTATGAATGTAATAGGGAGATTGGGCCATGACCCACCACGCGGAACCAGTGCGAATTGGCGGGTGTTAACGACTGCAGATGCAGCCGGGACCAACGGCTTATTGTGCCTTCCGAAGCACGGAGGAGCTCGAGATTATCGAGTAAATTTTTGGTCACCCATCCAATGACGGACCACTGCGAACTTCAATGATCACAGCCAAAAGCGCTAACCACTTGTGCCGTCGAGCTCCTCTATGGTATATGTTATTTAATTTATTACTTGTCCATTATCTCCGCAGAATCAGCACGGATGTCCAGAGTCTAGAGAATGGTGAAGCTGTGGTGCTCAGAAGGAAGACCCAAGACGGCCAACCAGTCAATAGGATACAAAGGTAGGAATTTATTTATTATGTTCAATATAATATTCTTAAAGAAAATTCTAGTGCGAACCCTCTTCAAAGTTTAATACTTTGAAAAAAAGATTGATGAATTTGGTAAAGAATAGAATATAGTACTTCTTATTACGAGAAAGATTAATCTGGTTATCTGTCATGTTGTAAGGTTAGTTTCTGTTTGAGGTTAGAAGTTAATCTACGGTTGGTCGAGTCTCAGATTAATCTGTGGTCACGTGACCAAAGAGGCTGCGTCATCTGCGATGCAAATACCGAACGAGGCTATCGTTGATTTGAAGATCATTTAATATGACCCTTTTTTGAGAAGCTCGATAGCGCAAGTGGTCAGCGCGTTCGGCTGCGATCGTTGAAGTTAAGCGTCTTTGGCAATGGTCGATCATTGGATGGGTGATCAAAAATTAACTATCTCGAGCTCCTCCGTGCTTCGGAAGGCACGCTAAGCCGTTGGTCCCGGCTGCATCTGCAGTCGTTAGCACCCACCAATCCGCACTGGGCCCGCGTGGTGGCTAATCGCCCAATCTCCCTATTCCATCCATAGAAAAGGCCTGTGCCCCGGCAGTGGCGACTTAATAGGCTAATGATGACCCTTTTCAAATTATATTCGACAGGTCTAAAGAGGACATCCACCTGGCGAATTTGAAGAAGAAGACTCGAAAGCGGACGAGAAAGTTCGAGATCGATGGCGTCATCGTCACCACTACCACTTCCAAGGTGAGTGTGAATCATGTTTAAATAAATTATATGTTTGTAATGAATAAACTCAAATCTAATGGGTGGACACGAAAAATTCCCCTACAACAGGATATTTGACAAGTTTTAGAAAACTGCCTCACGTTATTTACTAATGTTTATGGAGTCCATAAAAAGTAAAAAGTAAAGAAAAGTTTACTAGAAAAAACCCACGCGGACCAGGCAGCGGACGGGACTCGAACCCGCACCCTTCGCAATCCGGGCGAATGCACTGACCATTATGCTACCACGGCCATATTCGCCGCGTCGAAATTTTCCTAGCCTTAAGCTGCAAGGCAGCGCCATCTCTTCGCATTGTAGGTAACCCACAATGTCAAAGAATACTTTTTCAAGTATTAAACATTTTGCTCATTCTACCTATTTGGTTTGAATTGACAGCTATGACGTCAAAATGTGGCGCCCAGTCGGTCCTATTCTTAGTTGAATCGCAACACAACATTTTTATTCAAACACCTAACGTAGGTTTCACAAATAAAATTCTGATTTATTTTCTAATATTTTTCACTAAACAGGTAATATGGGGCGACGAAGAAAGCGGTCGCACTTGGGACGATCACGCGCTTCGTAAACAAGAACTCAGGGAGATCAAGATGCTGCAGAAGCAAGAGCAGAAGCAGTTCCAGGATCTCCACAATAAAGAGTTACAGTTGAAGGAACAGCAAGACAAGAGGTGAGTAGTGTCTGGGTGTTAATAGACCCGATATTCCTCTGAAATTCAGTTTATGAAGACAAGGCTTCCTCCAGAAAATCCAGCACCAACTTAATCATATACTTAAGGATCCATCATCATCATCATCAGCCTATTAATGTCATCACTGCTGGGGCACAGGCACAGGAGATTGGGCTATGACCCACCACGCGGGCCCAGTGCGGATTGGCGGGGGCTCAGTTGGCGGGTGCTAACGACTGCAGATGCAGCCGAGACCAACGGCTTAACGTGCCTCCCGAAACACGGAGGAGCTCGAGATAGTAAATTTTTGGTCACCCATCCAATGACCGACCACTGCGAAAATTACTGAACTTCAACGATCGCAGCCGAACGCGCTTACCAGTTCACCTTACGAAACCTTACACCTTAATGAATTCAATGGAATATATTTATTTAATGGGTTTCTGTTTCGTGAATGTGAAGCGTGCACGTTTGGATATTCAATTTTTTTTTATTTCTGAACGAAGAAAAAAACTCTTAAAAAATATGGGTGCGTGTACTTAAGTACGCGCGTGAGAAGTTATACTTCTTTTTGGAATTATTAAAAAATTGTTTTTAATTGCATGCAGATAATTAATTACAATAAGATAATAAAAGGATTGGAAAAGGATAGTCAACGCAGTCAATAAAGTTCAGTTTTAATTTGAAAAATTTAATAAATAATCAAAATATTCAATTTAAATCACTACTGAATAAAATTTATTAGCACATAAAGCATATAAATTTCGCATTTGTATAACATTATAACACGTGTTAAGAATATAGAAACTAGAAACATGTGGATAAATATTATAAATATGAAAACAGTGATCAGAGGCGACGAGCGTCCCAACATGTGCGACTAAGAGATCCTATTACTATTTTGTTGGAAGCTTTTTTTCGAGACTTACGAGTAATGTGCGGTTTAGCGGCCGACTTCATGGTGTTACTTTTCTATTACAGTGTTGCGCGCGCATCTTAAAATTTCACTCATCATTTTTTCATAACGCGCCCGCGGCTAACTTCATTATGTTACTTTTGTGTTACAGGGATGCGCGCGCATCTTAAAATTTCACTCTCATAATTTTTTCATAACGCGGCTAAAGAAGTATAACTTCAAAAAATGGTTTTAATTTTCTACGTTTACTTACATTTTACAGATTCGAAGCAGAACTAGCATCATTATCGCGAGCTCACGAAGCCGACTTGGACACTTTAGCCCGTGCCCAAAGAGCTTCGGCCGAAAGGGCTGAACAACAACTAGAAGGGGAATTAAGACATGCGGCCAAAAGATTGAGGGCGGAACACGAAAGACAACTGAGGCACTTCAGAGATACTCTCAAACAAGAATTGAGGCTGCTGAAACAGGTAAATTTCTATCTGTAACATTATATATAGGAATCATCATCATCAGTCTATTAATGTCCCTGCTGGGGCACAGGCCTTCCCTATGGACGGAATAGGGAGATTGGGCCATGACCCACGACACGCGGGCCCAGTGCGGATTGGCGGGTGCTAACGCAGATGCAGCCGGGACCAACGGCTTAATAGTAATTTTTTGGTCACCCATCCAATGACCGACCACTGCGAAAGTTGCTTAACTTGAACGATCGCAGCCGAACGCGCTAACCACCTGCGCCATCGAGCTCCTCGAAGGAATAGGAATCATGAAGTATATAATAACTAGCTGACCCAGCGAACTTCGTACCGCCCTAAAAAAATAGGGGTTGTGAAAATTGTGAATCTAAACCATTCTCAGATCCCCTTGAACACACACAAAAAATTTCATCAAAATCGGTCCAGTCGTTTAAGAGAAGTTCAGTGACATACACACTCACAGAAGAATTATATATATAAAGATAATAAAAACCGGTAGCTTTAGGTAAGGTGTTTTATACTATATTGGTGTATTTTACTTCTATGAAATAAAATAAATGAGATAATAATAATAATAAATTTTTCCAACACTCACACCAATGGACAAGAAATCTGCAAAATTTAGCCACTAGGGGCGCTGTAATCGCTTGACCCAAAATTTCTATTAAATACGTACCTATTAGCTTATATTCATTTTTAAGCTTTTTATTGAACAAATCACAAATGCCGCCTTGTGCTATTCCTGGTTTTTGTGAGAACATTGCATGCTTACCGACTAATATATAATTTTATATGTTGCTTTGAGAGGGGAGTAAAACTGAGCTGATGTTTACATCATGGTATGTATCTGGGGCAGGTAATAGGGTATTTGACAAGTTTTAGAAAACGATCTCACGTCATTGACTAATGTTAATGGAGTCCGTTAAAAGTGGATATTCATCATTATGTTGTGTATTTCAGTAAAAATAACCAAATTAAAAACTCCATTTTCAAGTTGCCGCGAAAACGTATTTCTAGACAATATGGCATCTTACTAGTGTGTGACGTCACACGACTGTTATTAAAACGTCAAACGATACAATGTAATGTTATTTTAACCGGAAGTTTACTTGCGTGTGACGTCATTTTAGACTCTTCCAATCCCAAGCGTTTTGGGTCACGTGACAATAGATAAGAAAACTTTTTTTTTTATTTATTAAATTTTTTCATGAAAACTAAGTACAACACTTATTTCTATTCTGCCAAACTGTGCAACTGTTTGTCGGCAGTAGCTCTCGTGGACGTTACATAATTATTTTTGTACTTATCTCACTATATTTAAAATAGGTAGTATTATCTGTTTCATGGGTTTTTAGTAAAATTATGAATATTTTTTTTGTAAAAATAGTAAAAACTCTTGCCAATATTCATTCTAAACACAGATGCTAACAATTGGCACTTTATTTCTAATACTGTCAAATACCTTATTGCATCTGGATAACTTCATTTTGATCAGAAAAAACTGCTTCAAAATTAAAATATCGGTCATATGCCTCAAGTCTGTTAAAAAACGTAAATGTTATACTTCCCATTTTAATCAGAGGTAACTTAACTATGAGATTAGATTTGACTAATGAGCCTGCTAAAAGTTACGGAGATCCATGAACTATTAAAATAATCATGGAAAATGCATCGATGTACCTAGAAAGTGCATTCAAGCATAATAATAGAAAGATTACCTTTCTACTAGATTAGCTTTTCGGCCTTGCCTCTCCTTTTCAACTCTGTTTTCAGCTGTATTACAGACCATGTTCTATACATTTTCACCACATATTTAATATTTTGAACAACAAAAAAACACGTATATAGTTTGACAGCTGCAATATTCGGCTGTGGTTAGGGTCAAGCGTTTGCAGCGCCATCTTTGTCGAGCTTTGCGTATACATCTCCATTGGCCTAGCCCCAAAGTAAGCATTATAAGGCTTGTGTTATGGTATGCTAGGGTAACCGTTAGAATATGTATATTGTAAATATATAAGTATATTTATATAGAAATAGATATTCAATATCCATGACTGGATAACAAATGCTCGTGTTCATTACACAAACTTCTGCCTCCGCTGGGATTCGAACCCGGGACCTCTCGAGTCGGCGACACCATGAAACCCGGCGTACAAACCACTCGGCCACGGAGCTCGTCATATTATATAACAGTTAGAAGTAATGGTATTCCATTAGATTTCTTTTTGTTTACCCGACACGGTCTTCAAGCCCATTCCAGTGGAAATATTGGTGCGGGTTCGAGTCCCGTCTGCTGCCTGATCCGCGTGTAATTTATTCTAGTAATATGATTTATTCAACAGCCCTTGCTTAGTTTCTTGCCGGTTCTTCTCAGTACAAGGTCTCCCGCCGTAGTTTTGCGAACCGATGCCGTAGCTTCTTGACCTTCACAAGTGCTTGTAACAGCCTAGACTGAATAAATGACATTTCATTTCATTTCATGATTTTTCCCAAACAGGAAGTGGAGTTAGTATCCAAAGAGCGTCGCAAAGACGCTTACCGGGAGCGTCGCGCCCGTCTCGACGCGGAACACGCGGAGAGGGAGAAGGCATTCGTGGCTTCCTTGGCGGAGACTCAGGATGCTGTGCTGAGGAGGATACACGATCACCACAGGGACAGGCAGGCGCTGGCAGACCGACAGTATCTGCAGCAGAGGCATCAGGTGACGATATGTACCCTAGAAGATGTTATGACTATCTTACAGGTTCAAAACTTGAAGAATTAGAGGAAAACGCGGCAAAAACGAGATAGATCCAGTGTGCTAAAGTGATTTCTCATGGTTTTGGTGTTTTCAGACAGATTTGTAGCCAAAAATCTAGTTCTGTAGCTAAAAATGTAGATGTGTAGTTAAACTCTTGTCGGTGACCATTCTTAAGTAGCATTTGCAGCAGACCGCCAGTACATGCAGATGCTGATGAAGATAGATTGATGATATGTGCTCTAGCAGATGCTATGACTGTCTTACAGGTTTCTCAATTCGCACTTCTCTGGTTATTTCAAGTTTTTATCTTAAGTCGCTTGGTAGAATATACTCATAGAGACATTAGAGAGTCGAGTCCGTCTAGACGCGGAACACGGGAGAAGGCATTCGTGGCTTCTTTGGCGGAGACTCAGGATGCTGTGCTGAGAAGGATACACGATCACCACAGGGACAGGCAGGCGCTGCGCTGGCAGACCGACAGTATCTGCAGCAGAGGCATCAGGTGACGATATTAGATATAATAACTGTCTTACAGGTTCCAAACTTGAAGACATGTTGGCGGATCGGAGCAAAACGCGAGTGAATTCTGATGATTTTTGTGTTTTCGGCAGTTTTTAGATAAGAATTTGTTGATAGTCATTCAAAAGTTGCTCTTATTGACAAGATACACAGATATACCCATAGGCAGATAGAATTTGATACAGACAGTGAATTCTGATGAATTTTGTGTTTTCGGCAGTTTTGTGGCTAAAAATTTAAATTTAATATGGCATTACATTCAATACAAAAAACATGAAAAAAAGTTGGTGAAATGAGATGAAATGAATTGGTTTAGATAGGAATTCTCATGATTTTTGTGTTTTCAGCAGTATGCTAGCTAAAAATTTCGCTATAATTAACATAGGTCATTAAACTTTAAGCAGAGATAATCATATCGTTTACAGCAATGTTCTAGTTAAAATCATGTTGGTAGTCATTCAAAAGTTGAAAGATCTTGAAATTTCTTTAGCTATATATATATATATACATGTATATACAGATACATATTTAATTTACTAGCTATAAGAGAAAGAGAGAAAGAAAATGTACGCGCGCACTGCTTTCACTTGCTTATATCCCTCACTGAACTCCCGTTCGCCTCGCCCTAACACACTTTTCAAGCGTGTAACGTAACGCATTCGCAAGCTTACTGCCCAAGTCAAGCGTGCGCAAAGAAGTTTCACCTAAAAAAATCCAGCATTTATAGCGAACTTTGTTACAGATAATGAGGACACGCGAGGCTGCTCTGTGGGAGTTGGAAGAGAAACAGATACATGAGAGACATCAGCTCGCTAAAAGGCAGCTCAAAGATGAGTTCCTGTTACGAAGGCATCAGATGCTGGTCAGGCACGATAAGGAGCTCGAGCAGATTAAGCGGTGAGGACAATGATTAAATATTGAAGATAGGATATTTACTAAGAGAAGATATCATTGGAGTTTATTCCTTAAGAATCGATTTGCATATATAAGGGGCCCGGTATGAGAAAAATGTGAGGAGTGAAATCTATCGATGAATGACCTCGTTACGTTTTTACTGTCTACGCTGTAGCAGAGTATCGTAGCGTACCTTTTTGCCTACGACGACAAAGAAACCGCGTCGGTGTACCACCGCGCCATTCGTTGAACACAAAACCATTGAGCTTTTTATTTTCATTAATTTGTTAATTTACCCTTTCATACAGTATCAATCCTTTTTAAGTTAAATAAACTCTTTTTGCGTCTGGTTAGACTATCGAACTTAAGAAGTAAACTCCAGTCGTGCGTCGGAGCTGACACACACATTTTTATTTTATTTTAAACTAGTGGCCCGCCCTCGCTTCGCATCGGTGTAGAGCTGTAGTGTAGACTATAGTTTTTGTTCTCAGGCTTGTTTTATACACAATGACATTCTTCTTAATACCTAATTACAATAGGCACACGCCGCCAGACCGCCGCCCGGTAGCGTCGGAACCGCTATGTCTCTGCATTTTAAATCTGTAATATCTTCGAAAATATTCATTTAAATTACATGCGTTAAAGGGCCAAATTGAACTATATGGTCAATGTATTTAAGGTACTTAATTGGATAAGGATGAATGTTATATTGCTGAAAATCGCTTCGTAAATAATCTATTATTTCTCGTAAAAAATATAGGATAACAAATGGTTATTGTGGGTTATCCCTAAGAGACAGTCATAATATACCATCGCGAACTTCTTTGTAGACCTTTTTAAGGTGTACAATACTGTAGTACATTATTTTGATCTATCTCGTAGGGTTCAGCCAGCGTTTGCAATGTAAGCGCAAAAAAATGTGTTCATTTACGACCTTACATTAAAAACCTCTAAAATTATCAGTGTTTCTCTACTATATTATGCATGTATTATACATATAAACCTTCCTCTTGAATCACTATCTATTAAAGAAAACCGCATCAAAATCCGTTGCGTAGTTTTAAAGATCTAAGCATACATAGGGACATGGGGACAGACAGCGGGAAGCTACTTTTTTTATACTATGTAGTGATAATAACTAGAACTGCATTCACAGTTTTTAAGAAATCGTCTTCTACAACTACATATTTCATTAAGCTTTACAATAAGGACTTATTTATTCAATTTCTCTTATAAATAAATTCTTATGTTTTTATTTATTTTTAAGCATTTAACTGCTAGATGTTTAAATCTAAAGAAAAGTTTTACTAGAAAAAAACCCACGCGGACCAGGCAGCGGACAGGACTCGAACCCGCACCCTTCGCAATCCGGGCGAATGCACTGACCAATTATGCTACCACGGCCCTGATGGCCGCGTCGAAATTTTCCTAGCCTTAAGCTTTCTTTTCTAGTAAAACTTTTCTTTAAATTCTTATCTTCTTTTATGTCCAGTAAAAACGCTCGCAAAGAGGAAGAGCTAGCCAAATGCCAAGCGTTAGAGAAGCGGTCCCTCCCCAAACGCATACGAGCCGAACAAAAGGCGCGAGAGATGATGTTCCGCGAGTCGCTGCGAATAAGTGCCTTGTCTGCACCACACGAGGACGACAGGGAAAGACTTAAGAAGGTAATTTTCATAATCATCATCAGCCTATTTAAAATTGAAAATTATTTAACTTTCAAATTCAACGGGCCCAAAACCGTCTGTAAAAAAATTAGTTTGACCTGGAGCTCTACTCTCTTTCTCCGAAACGAAATTTCGGTTAAGGAACGAATTTTAAACGAAATTTTGCCAATGACTCTACTCTATTTCATTTTCGAACACGCACATGAAGTTCGGAATCACAGACAATTTTCGTGTACGAATGGAATGAGTCATGTTTGTGAATTCTTTTATCTCTACTTTTTAGATTACCTGTTTTACTTGGAAATAATATTACTTTACTACAAATTTTTTGATGACATAAAAAGAACCTTTAACACTTGACATTGGCTAAATGCACAAGCGAAGCGTGCGAAGCAATTAAAAAAAATATATATATTTAACAGCTAGATGTTTAAATCTAAAGAAAAGTTTTACTAGAAAAAAAAACCACGCGGACCAGGTAGCGGACGGGACTCGAATCCGCACCCTTCGCAATCCGGGCGAATGCACTGACCAATTATGCTACCGCGGCCCTGATGGCCACGTCGAATTTTCCGAGCATTAAGCTGCAAGGCAGCGCTATCTCATCGCTTTGTAGGTAACCCATAATGTCAAATGAATACTTTTTCAAGTATTAAACATTTGAAAGAAGAAATAGCAATTATAGTTATGTTTTTGTTTTCTTCTAGTAAAACTTTTCTTTAGATTTAAACATCTAGCAGTTAAATGCTTAAAAAATAAATATTACAAAGGACTTTTTGGCGGGATCGGAAAGCGTCACTTTAGCAGTTTTGTTTTTTCTTGTTAAAAATTGTGTTGTGGCGGATGTTAGTGTCTAATAATGGTGGATTATTAACCACTAAGTGTTCGGGAACATGCACAAGTGTTGGCAAGTGCAACAAAATAACGGAAAGTGTCTTTCGACGTTCCCTCAAGAAGTCCACGGGGAGGTTCCATTAAAAGTCCACACATTTACTGAAACACTGGGAAAGGGGGATTGACTTGACTGCCACTTACTTTGACTTCATATAATACTTTGACCACGAGTGCTATAGAATTTGTAAACATTTTTAACACTTGACATTGGCTAAATGCACAAGCCACAAGCCGTGCGAAGCCATTGACGAAAAAAAATATATATTACTAATGTTATTCTATCCGTAGTTCCAAGAGAACGAGAAGCGACGCTACAGAGCCGAGCAGCAGAGGCTGATGACCAAACACACTAAAGCGAGGGAGGAGTTACGCGCCGCTGGGGAGGTAATTGAATTAATAAATAAATATTTCGATGATTGTGGCCTCAGTGGCCGAGTCGTTAGTACGCTGGCTTTCGTGGGTTCGAATCCCGATGAAGGCAGATGTTTGTGTGGTGAATACGAGCGTGTGTACTCCAGTCATGGATGATTAATATGTTTTTGTATGTAAATATACTTGTGTATGTACAGTATATGTATTCTATCCGTTACCTTAGTACCCCATAACACAAGACTTACAGTGGTTACTTTGCGGGTAAGGCTAATTGGTGTGAGTTGTTCAAAAAAGTAAAAAAATCTAAAACAGGTTATGTGTCTTATAAATCCGCCGCTAGAGGCGGTTGTGTAGCGCGAGGTCTTCGAAATGGCAAATGTTATTGATTGTTGGCTCTTTACGCGGGTTTATTTCTTATTAAAATAATGTTGTGAATATTGAATGAATGAATGATAAATTTATTGTACACGATTAAATTTTAAATAGGGATGATGACTAATTTTTTTTTCTTCGTTTATTAGGTAGATTATCAAAAAGTATTGGACACGTATTTTTTCTTTATTCACATAATATAAACATTGCAGAGATATATTGATTTGAAAAGTCGCATGACGTCACGTTTGAGTACACTTATAAGTGAAAATTCACTCAAAAGTGACGTCACGAGCCCCTACTCCCAAACTTTGACGCGCTATAGCTTTGTTATTTTTTGGTTGATTGCCCAAAGAAAAAATACGTGTCCATTATTTTTTGATCATCTAACTGACGGACTAAATAGAATTTCGTTTACTGTACCCCGTCATCACCCCTATTACAATTAATTAAGATTATTACATAACAGTACAAACTTCGGCCTTATCGCTAAGAAGCAAGAATTCTTCTTAACCTACGGTTGCCTGGAAGATTTCTTCCAGGCAACCGTAGGATAACTGGACTGTTACTTGGGGAGTGGGAAGTAGATGGTGTCATTTAAAGTGTAATTACCTTTAACCCTTCAATTGCTGTAGTGCAGCGCTGCACGCCTTCGTGAGTAAAGTCCGTTTGGGGAAGTGTAGATCTGCTCGCTCGTCACCCGCATTCAATTTTTTGCAATTTTGGGAATAAATACAATGCAATACAGTTCAAAGTCTTTTGAATTTTATACCCAGATGAATACACCATTCACTCATTGTGGTGAAGTCGTTCTTATGACCAAACAACCGTTAGTACGACGATTTTAAAATCGAGTATCGGGGAGCTCGCAACTAAAAAGTAATTTTTAAAACAGTTTATTAACAACATTATATTACAACAGTATATTATTTTTTTGCAAAAATCTATTGTTTAGTTATTCAACTTTGAAAAGGTTATCAATGAAAAGCACAAGTATTCGTATAATTTATTCAAATCGCGTTTATGCCACCTAAGGTGCGAAATTGATTTTGTCTACGTTTCCTGTTAAAAATAAAAAGGTTGAAACAATTTATATAGGAAATTACTAAAAAAGAAGGTACATTGACTATCTATAATTGAAATAAAATATTTTGCTGCATGTCGACCGAACGATTTATTAAAGTTATTGAATAAATTTCAAACCGCGTCGAGCGCGCGCTGCGGCCGCGCAATCGTTCCGCAAGCGGGGGGTGTTTTAGGCGGAGGCTTTCCCGCAATTGAAGGGTTAATAATACTTAAAAATGATTATGTACAACAAAAAATAAAATTCAAATACATTTATCAACCAGAGTTAAGTCTCCATAGTAACCATACAGGAACATAAATCAATGAAAAAGAGTAGATAAAATGACCATAAACAACAACATTATTTAAAGAAACACCTTTTCGTCTAACTCATTATACCATTGATTCAATCGGACGACCTCCGTGGCCGAGTGGTTTGTACGCCGGGTTTCATGGTGTGGGGGCAAATGTTTGTGTGATGAATACAAGCATTTGTACTCCAGTCATGGATGTTTAATATGTATTTCTATATAAATATACTTATATATGTACTGTATATGTATTCTATCCGTTACACTAGCATCCCATAACACAAGCCTTACAGTGCTTACTTTGGGGCTAGGCTAATTGGTGTGAGTGTTGGAAGTATTCATTTATTATTTATTTATATTTAATTCGTCCACCAGGCGTTACTCCGCGAATTGGAGCAGTACCAGAACGAGAAACGCAAGGCGTTGATGAACCACGAGTCAAGCAAGATGAAGGCTGTGGAGGAGAGATACGCGGGCGATCTAAAGGAGTGGCGGGCTACCCTCAACGACAGGAAACTGGTGAGTTGTGATGATAATTAAATAATAAATAAGAAAATATTCATTTCTTCTTAACAGTTTTCTACAAAAAAATTCAGTGATCTGGGTTAATCTAAAAGGCCTGCGTCAGTAGGGATGAAACGATGCCAGGTATCGATACTTTTACTCGATACTGTATCGGTCATAAAGTATCGGTACTTTTTCTCGATACTGTATCGGTCATAAAGTATCGATACTCTTACTCGATACTGTATCGGTCATAAAGTATCGGTACTTTTTCTCGATACTGTATCGGCCATAAAGTATCGGTACTTTTTCTCGATACTGTATCGGTCATAAAGTATCGATGCTTTTACTCGATGCTGTATCGGTCATAAAGTATCGGTACTTTTTCTCGATACTTTGGTTATACCCACAGAACATAGACATAGGTTAGAAGGCCCTTGTGGGCGGGGCAGGCGCGCCACAGTTGTGTGTGAGCAAATGCTCATAACTTGACCGAAACTTGGTTCTGATTGCGTCGATGCTCTCGGGCCGTGACCGCCAATTGGTTTCAATATTCGATGTCGCGTCATTTGATTGGCTATTATCTATTAGGTGGAAGTGAAGTGGGGGCCAGCCGGCGACATCCTCTCTGTGTTCTGTGGTTATACTTGCCGACATGATCTCGGTTGTACAAGCATGTCTTAGCATGGTACCTAACGGCATGATGCATGTATGTTTTCCTATGGTGGTGGATTCTGCATTTTTTTTTTCATTTAAACGTCTCATCGTGAATCTAGTCGCATTTTAAGAAGTGAACAAAGTTGTCAAGTTCCTTTAATATTTCATCAAGTCACGTGACCTCAATGTTTAAATTTTTCTCTGATACACGGACGAGTTTGAAAATTTTAGCATAAATTTGGAGAGAGTGTTTTTATAGTCTTAAATAATTGGTTTCGTAATCTAGAGTAACTCGAATATCAGTCTTACGTACACAGTTTTAAAGCTTTTTTTTATATTTCAACTCAATCTTCTATCAATCGACGTCAAAAAGGCGACGGTACGCAACAGGGTTTTTGACAAGTTTCGGAAAGCCATCTCACTTTACTTACCAATGTTTATGGAGTCCATAAAAAGATATTCATCATTCTGTTGTTCATTTCAGTAAAAATAATTTAAACAAAAAGCCAGTTTTCAAGTTGCCGCGGGAACGTTTCTTTCGACAATATGGTGTCTCACTGGTATGTGACGTCACACGACTGTCATTAAAATGTGAAACGATACAATGTAATATCACTTTGCCCAGAAGTTTATTAGTGTATGACGTCATTTAGGCTCCGCCAATCTCAGGCGTTTTCAATCACGTGACAATAGATATGGAAACTATTATCTTTTTCGTGGATTTTTAATAATATTATGAATATTTTTCCGGAAAAAATAGTAAAAACCCCTGCCAATATTCATTCTAAATACAGATGCGAATAATTAGCAGTTTATTTTTAATACTGTCGATGCCGATGAATGAAAATATCGGCCTTACATTGATAAAAAATAAAACACTCAAATAGGGTATTTGACTTAGGGTATTTAAATGTTGTTACAAAGGTTTGATTCAACGATGACACCGTCCTTTTATTAATAATGATTTTATGTGAATATTCAGTTGAAACGCGCTGAAGATGAAACGGTGCACTAAAACATTGTAAATATGCCTCGGTCGGAATTTTGGAAAGAATGTGCTTGCTTCATTGTGGTCTTAACTCGAGTGTTTGGCTTTCTATAGCTGCCACTTTTATGGTATTTGCTATTTGACAATTTTACTGCAGCAACGATATTAAATAACCTAGCTACAACATCACAAACAAAATCGTGGCCGAAACATGTCCAAAAGGTACATTGGATCATCTTATGGAGCTCCGTGGATCGATCGTGGAAGGCATAAGCAAGTCGCCTTTAAGGCATACAGCATAAGATCGTAGTAAAAACGCATGCGTCAAAGATTTATGAAAGATTTATAAATGCAAGCTCCTAAAATTTTACGACTTATTGCTATATGCGGAAGAATATATAGACCTTATTTCTTTGTCTCTACGCGCAATTCTGATTGCGCTTTTAGCAAAATAGCGGGTACGGACTGCGAGGAAAAGAGATGACTATATTACGGACCATGCATTTGTATTAAAACAAAATTTGCTACAAATGCGTTAAATTAACAAACATTGATTAGATACCTATCGAAAAAACGACACTTTACGTATACTTTTAAACGGTCCGCGCGTGACTGTGAACCAAGAAGTGCTTGAGTGGTGTTCAAGCACTTCTTGATTGGGACACATTTTGAGCGCACGTGGTGTATCTAGAGTATTTAATATCGTTGTACAGCAGTCTTTACTTTACTTCCCCATAGAGTGCGATGAGGATAAACTGCTTCCAAGGTAACAAATACTAAATTGACAGTGGAAAATCGAAATCGCTTATACGCCGCTTAGGTGCTGTTTAAAAAATAACTTAATTTCAGTTTTTGAAGTGAAACTTCTTTACGCACGCTTGACTTGGGGGGTAAGCTGGCGAATGCGTTACGCGTTACGAAAAGTGTGTTCGGGCGAGGCGAACGCGAGTTGAGTGGGGTATATAAGCAAGAGAAAGCGGTGCGCGCGCACATTTTCTTTCTCTCGTTCTCATTCATTTCATTCATTTTTATAGCTAGTAAATGAACATACAGATAAGTTTCACTTCTGTCGTGTGGTCATAAGCACACTTTTTTTTTATTCAATGTTAATTTTTAAGCAGCACCAAAGTGGCGTTTTATCGATTTTGCTGTTCCGCTGTCGATTTTCATTACTATTCGTATTTGCTATTTGTCAAGTTTGACGGCAGTCTCTCCTTTTCATTTCGCAAAGGAAAGATAGGGATAAGGATATTTTTATTTTTTGAGTGTGTATGCTGTTGGTCGCAGATGACCTTTACAGCGTCACCGGGTTTGGGGACGGCGAGATCCTAAGGGGACCTCAAGCCGAGAATAGAGGTGATGACGGGATACAGTAAACGAAATTCTATTAAATCCGTCAGTTAGATGTTCAAAAAATAATGGACACGTATTTTTTCTTTGGGCAATCAACCATAAAATGACAAAGTTATAGCGCGACAAAGTTTGGGAGTGGGGGCTCGTGACGTCACTTTTAAGTGAAAACTGTACCAAAACGTGACGTCATGCGACTTTTCAAATCTATATATCTCTGCAATGTTTATATTATGTGAAAAAAGAAAAAAATACGTGTCCAATACTTTTTGATAATCTACCTGATAAGCGAAGAAAAAAAAATTGGTCATCATCCCTATTGGCGAATGCCTTTAGAGGTATTCCAGGCGGATGGCATCGCCTCGCGGGGGGAGTTTCCTCTCCGTCTGGAGCCTCTAGACCACTCGAACCTGAGGGGGTCGGCTCAACTAGAGGACCTCGGCTTTAGTTAGCCGTTGTCGTGGGGGGCAGGGAATAGGGATATACTACTTATAAAGTTACAAATAGCAAATAACCATGTGAAGCGCTTGTAATAAGGCTTTTAACAAAGTCGGCCTCTAATGACTAGGTTCCGAAAATCGAAGTCATTAATGAAATAGCAAGAGCTTACGTCTTTCATTAGACATGTGTGGCATATGAACCTATTTAAACATGTACTGTCGAGTCATAAATAATAAAATTAAGGTACAAAAACCTTTTTAAAAACAAGCTTTTATTCAAATGCGCTAAAAAGAAAAAAAGAAAATTTAGTTAAAGTTTGTTTCTAAATAGATTTTCAAATTTTAGAAGTCCGCCATATTGGATTGAGAGTGACGTCACATTTTTTTCGAGTTACTCTCAGCAAGCCCTTTAATTTGATACCCATATTGTAGGAATGCATTAAAAATGATTGGTCCGCCATTTTGGGTATGCCACCATATTGGATTTAGAATGACGTCACACTGTTAAGCATGCATTGCCATCCGAACTGAACGAGCATACCAAATTTCAGCTTAATCGGTTGAGGGCAAGTGCTTTAAATTTGAGTTGTAAGATTTGACCGTAACAAACATACATAGCAAGTTAAATAAAAGCTTGTAAAAACACTCGTGCTGGGACCACAGATATCTTGCAATATTCAAAGTGCATTATCATTGGTTTTATGTAATGTTTCTTGCATCTAAATAGATTTTTCTTCCGTCTTCATTCTCTCAACTGAGACTGTTTAGATTGGCATTTTATAGTGCTTTCATTTTCGCGTTAAATTTCGCCATATTTAATAAAAAAATGTTTTTTTTTTTATGAAAATTCCAATAGAATGTTTTACCGGTATTTACGTCCTACCCGTTGGTAATTTATTACCCACCGAACGACAGGTTTTTCACCACATTATTGTCTTGAACGCGTTTCAATTGTGTTTGTGCCGTCCTCAAGCGCCGCACTAACACAAGCTTCTCCCGACAGAACCTCAATAAGATCTTCGAGAAGAATCTACTCGACCACGAGAACAAATTCGGCATGCCGATCAAAGACAAGAGCATTTACCTCGACGCGCCGTGGCCCAAGAACGTTTTACAGCACGTGTTGAGCGCTTACCACCAAAGGAATTCTCTCATGGGCTCCTTGTCTCGATCCAGAACTTCTCTGAACTTCTTATCGGCCGCAAACACTCCCAACATGGATAGAAGACGAAGCATCAGCCCCATTAACTCTAGAGAAACGAAATCTGCCGCATCCAGCGCTCACAACACGACGAAACGCGGCAAAACATCCAAACTAAACAAATACGGTTCCACATCCAATCTGAAATTGGTTTCCGAGAAAATATCCGGGTTCTCCGTATTCAATAGCGCGGATGACGTCAAAAGGGACCCCATAATGGCGTACGGGGAAGTCCCGAAAGAGATAGAGGAGGAGCCGAGAAAAAGTATCGAAAGATCGCGGCCTGTCGATAAAATAGCGAGTGCTAAACGCGTAGTAAACAGGCAGAGTATGTCAAGCGTTCTAATTAAGCAGATGGATGAATTGGAGCCGCAGATGAGACGTAGCGTGTCCCAAATGAACTTGAACGATGACATTGCTATGGAAGCGGTCATGATAGATTTGCCGTCTTTGGAGGCCGAGAAATATGGCACTGTTAAGAGTAATAGCACTTTTGGCACTATTTCCAGAGATGGTAGCGAAGGAGATGAAGAAAGTAGAAGTTTCAGTCGATGGGGTCCTGTCAGGGGATCCAATAGTTATGCAGATGGACATAGCGTACCGGTTAGTCAGTTGTCCACGTTGAATTTGAAGACTACCATTGTGGTAGACAAATTGGAGAAACCAGGCGATTCTGCCGCTTGAAATGCAACTTTTTAAAGTCTATAATCATCTGAGAAATCATATTAATGTTCCAAGTTTAATTTTTTCTTATTACGATGGTATAGAGTTGATTTTTTAATATTCAATAGTTGTACGTAACTTGGATGATTTTGAGACTACATTCTTATACATTAAAATAATGTTTTGTACATTTAAGTATGATTGTTTTTCTTATCAGTAATTTTAGTATTTAAGTGCTTTATTTATATGGGGCCTTTTCGCTTTTACAGAGGACATCGCATAAGATTTCTTCCAAGTGACAATTATTCCTCTGTCAACTTAAGATATGTTTCTAATCAAATATTTTGTAAAATACAGAGTTTGAAATAGATTTAAGGCTTGGAATTTTGGATATACTACTAGCGTATTTTCTAATATGCTTATATAAAATGCGCCTTTATGTTCTTGTGTATATTGATGACATGATAATATTCAAAGAGATTTTTTAAAGCAATAATTATTTTCTTCCTGTCGATTGGTGCTTTAAAATTTTATATAAATGCCTAATTATTTGTATGGGAATTTTACAATGAACTACTTAAAGCCTAATGTGTGATCTTTTAAAATTGCCTTGCAGAAACTTGTATTTTGTCAGCCTTTTAAACGCTATTAAGCTATGAAATGAATAATAAAAAATCATTTAAAATTAGAGTTTAATCATATTATTTGATTATTTTCATTATCTTAGTTCGGTTTATTATTTAATTCTCCATTACATTGAAAGATCATTTTTGTCTACGAATACCAAGACGTTAGATGATAATATTATTATTTTTTCACCACAATACAGTATTAATTATTTTTATGTCAAATGTTCAGTACAATATTAATTTGTCTACATATTTCTTAGCTACACGAATGATTTTTTTATCGGTTTGTAAGGTTCCGTAGTCCTGATAAGGAACCCTTATAGTTTCGTCATGACTGTCTGTCTGTCCGTCCCCGATTTTGCTTGGAGACTGTTAGCACTAGAGAGCTATAATTTAGTGGAGATTTGTATATCAATTATGCCGATAAAATGGTGTAATAAAATTTAGAAAACAATATTTTTTTAAGGTATTTTTTCATTATCTACCCCATCGTGCGGGGCATCGTTAAATAGGTCCTTTAAAACGCCTTAGGCGTTCCTAAGACTATTTTTCGATTTAGGGATCCGTTTGCGAAATATTGAACTTTAAAGTGCTAATTTTTGTTCGAGTAGGGCGTCTCCCCCTCCTCTTAAAGCTAAACCATTGACTTGAAAAACCTGAAAAAAATCATGTTAATTGTGCTTTTCATGAACTTTTAAGGGAAATTATAAAGATTAAATATATTAAAATTATAAAGGTTAAAAATATTTAATAAGAAAACATTAAAAGTGACTCAGATGCAGTAATTGCTTAAAATATAGACTCTTTTCAAAATATATTGTGATGACGACGAGCAACTGCGGAACCTTACACTGCGCGTGGCACGACACGCACATGGCCGGTTTTTTCTAGTTTTAAAAAGTGACCGGATTTTGAGCCTTCCTGCTTTGATTTAAAGTCCTGAGTTAAGTCATTACGTCAGTTTATTACCATTTGTATATTTTGTATTGTCATCCTCATATTTGCTTTCGTGTATGTGGATATGATTCGACATACATACGATTCAGTATTAATTGAAAAATGCCAAAGAGATGTACCTATTTCAAGACCATTATAAAATTTAACATGGAAAATGATCATTCCATAATGACGAGTCAATACATTGTTTTCTGAAGTCGACAATTATTTATGCAGGATGAAGAAAACGATGGGACAGCTGATTGAATGGAATATTGTTTATAGAAAATACAACGGGTTTACAATAAAAGGTAGTCTTATTCTACTGTGTTCTTCTGTAAGATGGGGGTTACTTTCAATGAGGGCTATCGCGTATGAATCCGCCGCTAGAGGCGCTAGTGTAGCGTGAGGTCTCCGAAATGTCAAATGTTATTGCTTGTTGGTTGACTACGCGGGTTTATTTCTAATTAAAATAATGTTGTGAATAATTGGTAACAATTCAGCTTAATTATGGCAAATATGAGTTATGTGGCAATGAATGTCAGTTAGTAAAAATTTAAGCTTAGGAAAATGATTATGTTCCCATTTTTCCGAATAAAACGGAACTGCGCGTCACTGTGGCATGGCCTATTATGTTTAGGATATGATTCTTTTGTGTTAAAATACGATCTAAATGTAACCTTTGATTTCATGTGCGTATTAATAAACTTTAAAAGTTACAATTTAGGACCTCACTCAACAGTGGCGCCACCTGGTGAGGCAAAAAACGGTAGCCCTCATTAGACAGATTTGCGCTCCAATTATGCAGATTATTAATAATTTAATTTTTCAAGCATTTAACTGCTAGATGATTTGATTTCTAGTAAAATTTCTAAGTTTTATCGCTCAAACATGGGAATTGGATTTTATTTGGAATTTTTCAAAAGGTCTAATTTAAACCAGTCATATCTTGATCGTTAATTGATGAATGGATTTACAATAAAAGCGCATTTAATTAAAATCTCCTGTCACAGTGTTTGTAAAAAAAACTCCTCCGAAACATTCTTACCTATTGTTATGAAATAGATTTGAGAAGACGGCTCAAACTAGTTTTCTTACCCTAAAGTTAGAAGGGAGGTTAAACCCAAAAATACTTTTTTTGGACAATTTTTTTTTTAATGTTTTTGCATAAATATACTTTCATTCTTCTAACACCAACCCCTATTTTTATAACAGTACAAAGTTCTCTGTGTCTGCTAGTGTTTCAAGAAATCAATAACGAAATTTAAAGATAAAGTTAATTGACTGAAGTGTCAAATCCCTTTTTAATTTAAGATTAGAGTTATTTCATTCAAATAAAAGTATTTTTTGAGTAAATAATGTTTTTATTCAATGTGATTCACGCAAATTTCACCAGCTATCCCTGTTGTTTTGTTCATCTTGTATGATCTTATTTTCCTTTTAAAACTGTGTATTTGATAGGTGAAACGATTATATTAGTTACGACTCCAGCGACATATTAAACCACGAATTGATGTCACAAAATCTTCCTATAATATGCCAATGCCTAGTTATCTTACAGTATTACAAAGGACATTGATAAATTTTGTATATTTTTTATGCTATCTATGCAATTTGAAGTGTGAAATCTTGATACTTACAGTATATTTATTGTACAAGTATCTTTTTTTATTCTTAAGCCAAAAACTTTGTCGCCTTAGTCTAGTGAAATGGTGGACGTGTTGGAATGAATATCGACAGAGGAAGAGCAAAATAGGTTATACGCCATTTTGGTCGAAAATCAGTTATATATATCATCTAAAGAAAATTTTGCTAGAAAAAATTCCAGGCGGACCAGGCAGCAGACGGGACTCGAACTATTACCCCTCGCTATCCGGGCGAGTGCACTGACCATTATGCTACCTATCCTGATGGCCGTGTCGATTTTTCTCTAGCCTTTCTTAAGCTGTTAGGCAGCGCCATATCTTCGCATTCTAGGTAACCCACAATGTCAAATGAATACCTTTACAAGTGTTAAACATTTGAAAGAAAAAAATAGCAATTATATCATTTTAATTAGTTTTATTTCTGCGTCGATCTGTAAATGTTTCGTGAATATTTGAGTACTTTTTGGCGCTTAAGCAACAAAATTTTTTGAACAATTTTATTGTTCACAACGCTGAACCGACATAAGTTTCGGTGTTTTTTGAACCAATGGCGTTTACGCCCTACTATTTAGCGTATGATTTGATGTTTGCTTGACAAAAACTGTATGGTGCGCAGAGTGATTTTCGATTAAGCGACTTAAGCGAGATCTAATTCGTAAAGTAAATGCACTATGTTACTTTTTTATAGGAGGATATTTAGATTTATTTTTTACGAATATGCTTTTTTTATGGCGCTGCTTCTCACTTACTTAATAACCAGTTTTTTTTGTGAAAAAAAAAATTTATCCTCGTTTCTATTAAGTTACTAAAGTGGCGTTTAAGCGAATTTGCTTTTCCACTGTCGATATGGATAGATGATTACTTTAACTTGATCTTGTAGAACGTATATGCTTATAAAATTTGAATAGGCTTAGGCTTTGAGATCAAGCGTATATTGCTTTAAATGGTAGTGAGTACAAATAAAGAAATTATATTCCATTTTTAAACTTGCGTGCATGTTTGATTAAATGTTAATGTCGGCTCTTCACTCGGCTATTCGTAAACTTGGCAATAGTCTGTCATTATCACGCTTTATAAGGAACGAAAAGGACAGTCTGATGTCAAGTTTATAAATAGCAAACACGAATAGCCAAGTGAAGCCATAAAGAGTCTTCTTCCATTGTCAGGACAGATTAAGCTAATATTGACGCCGGAATAAAAAGTCTTCTTCCATTGTCAAGGCAGATTAAGCTAATATTGCCGCTTCAAAGTTATACTGGCTGCCAACTTATGTTTGGCAAACGTGGCATTTTATCGCGACTGTGATTTTTCTATGCCACAGTATAGTTTTTTAAATACTTGCCTAAATGATTATTTCGATACGAGAGCGGGGTAGTTCGTTTAGTGTAAAGCTAAATATTTAGAAGTACGTTTTAACGATAGGTTACATAATCTAAGCTTGGAAAGAGACGCACGTATGCATCAGAACGTGACGCCAATATTACACAGTAATTTATCTCTTTCTCCAGTATTCGTGCGTCTCGTTCTGACACAGTTCACTCATCTATAGGTTTTATCATAGATGTAGTTATTATTATTACATTCGATGTGCCTAAATTAAAAGCCTTGTTACAGATTTTATATTTTGAATTGTTGAAAATTTGATATTCTAATCTTAGTTTTAGCGTGGTACGGTGACATCTCCCGTGTATTTTATTAGTTTTTGAGAAATTGATATAATATGCAATAATGAAATATATTTCTGCGTACAGCAACAACTGGTGTTATCTTTATTGGTTGCACTGTAGTGACATCTAATTATAAGTGCGGT